GTTACCACTTCATCACCTAATTCCTTCATGGGTATTGTACTTCCGCTCCATGATTGTCATACATTTCCTCCTCACATTGAGCTAAAATGTAGGTCTGTTTTATACTGTATGCTGTATCATGCTTACTTTTTGCAGAGATTTTTTTTTTGGTGTAATAAGTTTGTATACATTATTTTTCTACCACACAGTTACCTTTCAAGCATTCAGACACAACTGTGCTTTCTCATAACCTTCCGACTTAGTTCATTGGCTTCTACCCATGGGATACAGCTGTCATCCCACACTATCACTTTGTCCTCATCCTGTGAATTCCCTTACCCACCTGTTTCTGTGTTCTTTTCTGGGTTCTTCTCATTTTTACTGGAACACACTTTCTGGTGGCTTTCTATGGAAGAGTGTGTTTTTTGAAGAAGTCTTTAAAATGTGATGTGATGACTGTTTTGAGCTTAGACCTAATTACCCTTTAGAACTGAAAGGCATTTCTTCGCTATTTTTCAGTTATTGGTGGTAAGAAAGCTGAAACTTTTAATGTGCAATTTTCTGTAAACATTGCTTTTCACCCTTTTTGCTTAGTGGGATCTTTTCCTGGTACACAGTGGTACTCAAATTTCAGATGACTGTCATGGGGTTGCTGGGAAGTCAAACCCAGGTTCTCTAGAAGAGCAGCAAGTGCTGAGCCATCTCTAGGATCCATTTGACACTGATGAAGAGAATTTGTATTTTGGTTTTTGACATTTCATCCTTCACTTCAAAATGCTGCTGATGTTGCCCTCAATTCTAGCAGAGAGTGGCAAGATGATGTGTCTGGCTGGCACATCATAGGCTCTGATGTTGGGAGTGGTCTAGAGAAAGACAGTGAGGCCAGCCACTGCCTGCATGGGGCTGTTAATCCTCTTACTATAGAATAGGACAGGCTCCTTGTATACCTTGCTCTCTCCTGTACTACTGGGTTACTTTTGCCTTGATACATTTATATATTAGAACTGAGTTATGAGCCAGTTATTTGGCAGTGATATCAGAAGGAAGAGTAATTGGCAGACTCTTAGTAAGCAATCTGATATTTACACTTTTCTTTAAATTTTATTTTATTTTACAAAACAATTCAGTTCTACATATCAGCCACAGATTCCTTTGTTCTCCCCCCTCCTGCCCCCCTCCCCTTCCCCCCACCCTACCCCCTATTCCCACCTCCTCCAGGGCAAAGCCTCCCCCGAGGACTGAGATCAACCTGGTAGACTCATTCCAGGCAGGTCCAGTCCCCTCCTCCCAGGCCGAGCCAAGGGACCCTGTATAAGCCCCAGGTTTCAAACAGCCAACTCATGCAATGAGCACAGGACCTGGTCCCACTGCCTGGATGCCTCCCAAACACATCAAGCCAATCGACTATCTCACCCATTCAGAGGGCCTGATCCAGTTGGGGGCCCCTCAGCCATTGGTTCATAGTTCTTGTGTTTCCATTTGTTTGGCTATTTGTCCCTGTGCTTTATCCAACCTTGGTCTCAACAATTCTTGCTCATATAAACCCTCCTCTTTCTCACTAATTGGACTCCCAGAGCTCCACCCGGGGCCTAGCCGTGGATCTCTGCATCCAGTTCCCTCAGTCATTGGATGGGGTTTCTAGCACGACAATTAGGGTGTTTGGCCATCCCATCACCAGTCTGCATTCCCAGTGGGCAATGATGGCATTACTCTGCACTATAGCCATTTGCCCCAATTTAAGTTTAGAAATTACAAGTTTCAGTAATAGCTGAACCTCTGTTAAAAATGTTAATAAAGGTTTTGTTGCATGGTAAAAAAAAAAATTGATATTTACACTTTTGATCAAATATCTGAGTGGTAACAGAACTACGGATTTCCCTTGGGATGTACTGTTAAATTTTATTTTGCTTGTCACAAGGGTTTTGCTTTAATGAAGTGTGACTCCCAGTAACCAGCAAATGGGTATATAGACATGAAAACTGGAATATTTTTCTCGTGATCATGTGTAACAGTATGGCCTTATACACTATTCTAGATGTTGTCAGGGGAGCAGAGAAGTACAGACTTCCCCTTGCTCCTAATTTGTAAGGAAAGGTAAAGGACTAGGCCAGTGCTTTGTGTGTGTGGGGGGGGCGGGGTGGTACTCAGCATTATTACAAGTAAATGGCTCTTGTAAAGTTAGAACTTTAACTTGAGCCTCTGATATTCGTCTCCTTACTGTGTGACACTGAGTTAACCTTTCTGAACTTCACTTCCTCACTTAGAGATGTGCAAAGGACTGAGTTTGCAGTTTTATGACTAGGTGTTTGTGTTTTTCATTCAACAAGATGGACAGTGGCTACCACACACAGACTTGTGGAAGCAGTATCACTGCTGATATTGCTGGGACAGAAAGCTACTGCAAAGAAAATGTCATGCAGTCCTTTGAAGTGGAAATGAAACCTCAAGTTTGTAATATAAAGGTATGGAGAAAACAGCTTGATAAGAATATAGACTGTAATATTTACTAAATGACTTTTCTCAACCTATCTTCTCACCATTCTGTATAGTTTTACCATGCTTATGCTCCCATCTTGTCCTATAATGAAGTAGATGTTTTAGAACCAGACACTCCCAAGTTCCTCACCCTCCCACGGGAGAGAATGAGTTGGAGAGGGAGACCTAGCTCTACTCTAAGACAACATGTAAACTTTATCTGTAAAGGGAAACAGGAAAGGCAAAAACGTTTGCCTCTAAAGTTGATTTTTCTGTCTTTGAAACATTTCAAACAGCTCAAACCTAAATATAAAAATAACTACTATTAGGAAAACAGTACAACTGATTACATATCAAGTTAAAAGCACTTAAAGATTTTGTGTATGTACAGTCATACACAATAATGGTCTCAATATCTTCACTGTTGGATATTTAAAATGTACTTCCAAAGTATTATTGCTCTCCAGTTCTTTCCTGAAGGAGTTCTTAAAATTCAATAGCCATTAAAGATTTTCATTGTTCTAAGGAAAATAAATGTAGGTATTTAAATATGTCAGATATTTGTACTAATATAGTATACTTCTGATGTAAACATTTTATGATGGTTACAATTACACATTCACATTTGAAACCCATCATCTTAGGAACTGGATAGGATAGCCTCTTACTAGCTTATTATTATACAGTATATGATTAACTGTGCAACAAAACCTCTCTCCAAGTAAAGTTCAATAAGAAATTTACCTTTTCCCTTGTTATATGGAATATCAAAATAAGTCTAAGATTAGTACTTTAACAAAGTTGATTCTGATAATCCAGCTCATTTCATTTATCCCTCAAAACCTAAGCTAAAGATTCTTTTGAAACAGAATTTTAAAATACTATCTTTTGTGCTAAGGCTATTGCTCAGTAAGTAGACCACCTGACTAGTATTGACTAACATGTCCAATATCCTGGGTTCAGTCCCAGCACTACCCAAAAAACAGGAAAAAAAAAATCAAAAATCCACCCCAAACAGAAACTCTTATCTTCACTAGCCCCTTCAAACCAGGAAATCTACAAATTTTACAACAGTTCACATAATAGTTGTACTTCTGAACAGTCCTAAACTGAAAAGAAGGTATTTTCTTCTTTTTCACAGCAAGACCACACAGTGCAGAGGTGCTGGATGAAAACTGCAAGTCCATCTCAGTGCAGCAGCCCGTAGTCTCAGGACCAGAGACTACCCACTCAGTAGCCTTGTGTTTTTATGCACGACCTAACATGATGGTGACTGGGGGTAACTGCTTCAAGTAATATGCCTAGCTCCCTCCGGAATGTGAAAAATCAGTCCACACAGGAAATTAGTGATGGGAATAGAAGCTCCAAGTTACTAAAGTACAAGCTTATTTTTTTAACCAATAAATATTTTTGTATTTGCGTTGAGTGGTTTGTTTAACAAAAAATTATGACAGCTGATGGCTTTCTCCTGTCCTACAGGGTCACTGAACCACTTGTTAAGACTTGGAATGAGTCCTGAATTTAGCAATTCTTAGAACATGATAAAACTGTTAAAACTGAATGCACTATATATCTTTACATGAAAACTATGTGAAAGAAATCTTGAGATATAAAACTTACTAAAGAGGCAGAAAAGAAATAAAATTTCTGTGGGGAAACGACTTAGTTTTTGGTATTACCACTCGAGTTAATACTCTTAAGTGTACATGCTAGAAAGGTGCTAAAGAATGGTCCCCATCCTCTCCATTGCCATGTGTGAGGTGAGTATGGGATGCCACAGTAGTCTGTACCACCATTCCTAGGGCATCCCTCAGAGCTCAATCTTGGCCAGAGAGATGAACAGAACATGGGAGAATCAGAATCATCAGGCAACAGTGGAATTCCTCTTGGGCTCAGAACCATGAAGAAACAATTGGGAAAATAGCTAAATAAAATACATTTAAAAATAGGTATTAGGAAAAGATGGATATAATGTGTTTAGAAATATCAAAGACTGTATTTTTGTATTTACTTATTTCATAAAAACTGACATACTCAAAATGATTCATTAGTCCTAGAAAATAAAGATTTACCATTATGTCCTTAGTACATCCTTAGTATGCTTATTGCTTACACACACACATGTGCGCGCTCATGTCTTGACCTGCTTCAACACTAACCAATGTTGTGAAGTTGACTGGCCAATATCATCTTTATCTAAAGACAGCTATTATCCATGAGTTCTGAGTCTGGGACGAGCAGCCTCCCTGGCTACCTTCCAGTTTTCTAAATAATCATTAACTCAAGTAAGTAACTTGTCTCACTACTTGTTCTTGGCTTTATCTGTTAAATGGGAGTAGCAGTCCTAAAGGGCTCCTTCAGTTTGTTTTGAGTCAGTCTCACAATGTAGCCTAGGCTGGCACTGAACTTTGTCTTATTTCAGTCATGAGAATGTGAGGATCAAAGGTGTGTTGTTTTTGGAGTTTCATCTGCAATCCAGTTATCCTCAGTATCCCAGGACTAGTTCTAGGACCTTCCGTGGATTTAAAAAACAGAACAAAACAATGGATGCTAATGTCCCTCATTTAATGACATGATCTTTGCATATAAGGTATGCACATCTTCTCATTCTATCTACTACAATGTAAATACAATGAAAATAGGAGTTTTATTATCTGGGGGAATACCGACTAGTGCACAGATGCATCCCCCCCCCCCCCCCCAAGTACTTTCAATTTGGAGATGCAAAGCCTGGACACTGGGAGACTGACTGTGTTCTGTGTAATCTGCTTGGCTTCATAACTAGCACTAGAGAAAAAAACATTTTAAAGGCTCAAAGCAGAGGCCTTGGGGCATATAGGTTTTTGATCATAATTTGCTCAATTGAGATTAAAGCCTGTACTTACTAAAATCACTAGACAATTAGAATGGTAACAGACATGGGGGCTGCTCCATAGATAAAGTGCTTGCTGTACATGCATGAAAACCTAACCTACATGAGAGGTAAGCATGGCAGCATGTGGCTGTGACCCGAGATTGGGGGGGTGGGGGATGGGACAGGACTGGTTGATTCTAGCCAGTGTAGCTGAAAGTGACAAGCTCTGAAGTTGAGTGAAAGACCCTGCTTCAAAAAAATTAACGTGGAGAAACAACTGAGGAAGACATCCAATGTCCCTGACCTTACAAGTACCCATAGGTGAGAACATGCATGTGCACACATTTAACACACATAAGTGATTGGCTATTACCAAGACAACCTCATTTTCTACTGTAGGTAAAATATGGCAAATAGTTTAACATTTTTAACTTTGTTCTTGCCTGTATTCATGTTTGTATAGTACTTGAGTGTTGGAGGCTAGAAGTAGCATTGGATCCTCTGGAATTGGAGTTACAGATGGCTAAGGGCCATCATGTGGGCACTGAGAGTCAAACCAGGTCCTCCAGAAAAGCAGCTGGTGCTTGCTCTTAACTGCTGAGCCATCTTTCCAGCGCCTGGCAAACAGTTCTTGTCTTGTGTTTTGCAATAGTCTGATCAAATCCAAGGCCTTGTACATACTAGGCAGTCATTAAACCACTGAACTACATGCCCAACTCAACAGCAAAAAAACTGAGTGATTGGTGACTAAAGCTCAAGAATATCTGTTCTACATAGAACTGAAGCTTGTTTCCTTGGAAAACTGATTTTTTTAAAGAACATAACCATCCCTGTTTACATATTGTTTTGAGTGCTTATAAACTACAATTACAGCAGAGTTGTGCTATAGTTATAGTTCAGCCAACAGCCTGAAATGCTGTGTGTGGCCTTTTACAAACAAGGTTTGCTGTCTCCTCCTCTACCGTCAGTCACTGATCCATTTTATTTGGATCAAACACTACTTAAGACTGTCTTCCTTCAGCCATACAGAAGTACTTTACTTGACTGGAAACTAAGCAAAGTTGAATTAAAATTTTCCAGCCAGGCAGTGGTGATGTATGCCTTTAATCCCAGCACTAGGGAGGCAGAGCCAGGCGGATCTCTGTGAGTTCGAGGCCAGCCTGGTCTACAGAGCAAAATCCAGGACAGGCACCAAAACTACAGAAAACCCTGTCTCGGAAAAAAAAACAAAAAAAAAAAGAAAAAAAGTTTTCCTAATGTAATCATTAATCTGGGATTTTCGAGACAAGTAGTCAATCCAGTACACCAAATGAGACTTCATTTGTTCCTTTTGATGTCTTTAATACAATCCTTCCTTTCCTATATAACTGGATATAACTAAAATTCAAAGGCCATTATCTGTTTTTGTAAGAAAGCAGACATTTCCACATCTGTTTTTCCTCTGAGCTGTAATGCCTTGTTTGAGAGAAACATTGGCAACAAAGATTAAGGATAATGATGACTGAACTTACCACCTTTCAACAAAAATCACAATGTTCCCATTCAGGTCAAGATACCTGAGTTTTTGTTTTCTTATAATTCTAAAACATTCACAATTGTTTGAGGACCACTAGTGAAGTACAGGAGGCTTTTCAAAATATATGTGAACACAGTGTTGCAAATAGGCAAATTAAATTGGTAAAAAGATCAAATACAATGACAGCTCAAGATTTAGAAAGGCTTGCTCTTTGATTCTAAAATGTTATTTTCCTCAGAAATTGACAGTTTTCCCCCATATTCAATAAAGTACTAATATAAAATTAATCTGCTCTTCAATGAGCAGATGAGTACTCCATTTAAATGATCATCACAGATCCCTGAGGTCGCTATTCTGTTGCCATTTAAGTGATGGATATTCAAATGAATTTTTCTGCATAATTTGTGTTGTTGCTGAAGCACAGTGTAAGACAGATTCAGTCAGCAACTCAATAAAAATGCAAATTTCTTAAAATTATTGAAATGTACTTAAAAGTAACTAATATGCACACGAGTTTGTAAGTGTGCTTTCAATTTTGTTGTTGAAGGTAATCCGTCTTCGATGTTTTCTGTTGCATGTAGCTACTTCTCAAGTTTCCTCTTCTTCTCCCCTGGCCCACTGAGATCCGTGTCTGAAACATCAGGAGGGGTATTTATTCCTGGTATCTAAAACAGTGTAAACGGGAAAAATAAAGGGATTAGAAGCATCAGAGAAGCAATTTTTACCTCACCTTCCCCCTTTACCACTAGCACTTTCCACTTGAATCAGGTTTTCCAGTGGAGGGATAGAAGGCTGCACTGCACACAGCTATGCACACAAAGTAACCGTGGTTGGGGAGTAACCAGTGGGCTAAGTGAGAGGCTTTTCAGAGGGTACAGATCTGCACATCTGCAATCTCAGCACTTGGAAAGATCACTTCAAATTCAAGGCTAGCCTTGTCTACATAGCAAGAAAACAGAGAAGCTTCAACTTTGACAAGTGTTTACAATGTAACAACTCTTCCTCCGGTCCAATTGACCCTAGTGGCTTTATGTTGCTGCAGAGAGCAAGGATCCAAAGCCAAAAGGTTCAAAACCAGGATCTTTCATGAAGCATCTACACTTAACTTGTATATTATACAACAGGAGTATTAACTTGTATATTATAAAATAGGAGTAAAGAAATGGGCAAGAGGACCCTGATGCCTAGAATCCAATGCCAATACTTGGAATACCTAAGACCTTACCAACTAGATGTTAACTTTTCTACACCATTCAGTTAAGTTTGGTCTTACCTGTGGTTCTACAAGGGCCATGCGGATTTTTTGATGTTGAAGATTTGATGAATCTAATGTAATTTTCACTTTAACTTTATCAAACACATGGAACACTGTACCTTCTATTCTGAGTGAAGGTATCTTGAAAAAAAAAATTATTGACATTACTTCTTAAACTTGAATCTCAATTCTACTTCTAGTTTACCTTCCACGGTAATTTAAAAGTTTAACCACTCCCCAGTTAAGGACGTGAAGTTGGGAGGGAGATGTGATGGGTTCTAGAGGTAGTTGGAGGGGAGAAGTGAGAGGGTAAATAGATCAAGATCTATTTTACTCACGTATGAAATTTTCAAAGAATTAAAAATCCCACAATATTAGTAAGCATCCAGGTATTGAATACAGAAAAAAACCCACATCAATCTAATAGTCTCAAATATAGTCTATTTATGTGCACACTTCATCTTGTCACTAAGGTAGTCCTGATATACATCATTCATCTGAGTGATTTAGCTGTCTGTAGTAAAGGAACACAGCACACCATTTAAATATTCTCTTAAGAAAAGTTTAGTTGATGAGATGTGGATTTTCTGGCATGTATTTTGAGATTTAGGATACAAATATGCTGTGGAATAATCCTTCTGTACACTGTGTAAATTATGCTGTGACTGGTTTAATAAAGAAGCCGACTGACCAACAGCTGGCCAGGATAAGGTTAGGTGGGAAAACCAGACTAAGGACACTGGGAAGAAGGGCGGAGTCAGAGGAATCACAAAGAGGCAGGAGAAAACAGGACATGTGGAAAATGAGGTAACAAGCCATGAGCCACATAGTAGAACTTAGATAAGAAATACGGGTTACTTTAAGTTGTAAGAGCTTGTTCATAACAAGCCTCAGCTATCAACCAAGCATTTATAATTAATAAGGATCTGAGTCGTTATTTGGGAGCAGCTGCCAAACTCTGCCTACATAAATACAGGAAATTCTTAACAATTTATATCTATAGTTTGGAAACTGTCAAGAGAAAATATGCCCCTCTTCCCCAAGAAAACAAGGATCAGCAATACTATACCTCATCATCATAAGTAAGCCGTGGCTTTGGTTTATCTTTTTCTTCAAAAAAAACCGTACCTTCTAAGCCATACTTTGGAATTAACACCACAACTGCATTCTTTCTTACAAAGAGAATATAGGCTTCTTCACTTACTATATCTTTGCTTTTGAAAAACAACTGTAAAATACATACAATCTTGTTAGAAGTCTTATTTTGAAATTTACAAAAATAATTTTGAAAATACTAAATGAACAAAATTTCCCACTCCTAGCACTACAAACAAAAGGCAAATACCTGGGTATGAAAAGCTACTGATGCACGCTGAGCATATTGAGCCATTTTATGCCGGAAATTGAGATTTTTACATATATCTGAAAGCTTGTGTTTATCTGTCAGCTCTGGATAAGTACTATCAGCCCCAATAGCCACAGCCAACAGCCGATGAACAATTATGTCTGCATATCTACATATAGGTAAAATAAGAATGATGGCAAATTAGTTTTACATTTTTTAAATGAAAAGTTAACCATTTTCTATCTCCTTTTACTTTTGTCTGGAAAAAAACAATACCTTCTGATGGGAGAAGTGAAATGTGTGTATATTGGGGAGGCTAAGCCATAGTGATGAAAGTCATTGTCCATTCCAGAACAGAAGTAGACAGCTTGCATCATACAGCGAGTGGCCAATATCCTTAAAAGAGTGTTCAGGTATGGGAAATCAGGGGATTCAGCCCGGTCCAAAGAATCAGCCAAAGACTTAGCTGTGTCAGTCTTAATTTCCAAATTCTGTCAAAAAAAGGAAGAGAAGCACGAAATGAAACATTTCAAAATTAGTAGTAGTATCCTTCCTGCTTCTCTTTACCCTTCTCCCAATCCCTCTGCCTCTCTTTGAGATAGGGGTCACACAGTATAGCTGTGGATGGTCTGGAACCCTCAGAGATTAGCCTGTCTCTACCTCCCAAACACTGGGATTAAAGGCATGCTAACATCTAGAATTAGTATCCTCTCTTTAAAATATAAATACATTAAATAAACATGTTTGTTTGTTACAGATAGTAAGAGTTCATACATTTTATCTGTTAACTAGAGGCACTAAAAATAACTTTAAATAATGGTTGTTTTGTGCAGTACTAAAGCTTGAAAATTCCTGACTTCATTTGAAAGTCCTAAAATATCAAGAATCCTGAAGTTCCAAGGAAGAGAAGGCCCGTGGTGGCATAGTGCCATTTCTTTCTCAGTTCAGTTTAAGCTTGCTAATCTCTGAGGGGGTAGAGAAAATAAAGACGATACGGACACTTTTCAGTATGTCTGGCTCCTCTGCAGATTCTTTCCTTCCACTGAAAGTAGAAGTAAAGGCCAGGAGCAAGCTAGTCAATCAAAGTTCAGTAAGAACAATGTTATGGTGCATCCAACTCAGCTCCTGAATTCTACCTTAACAAGACAAACTGAATCATCCTTCCTCTGCCATATCTTGGTAAGAAATAAGACAAGCTCAGAAAATCCCCAACATGCAGTAATCCTTGGGACTGGGAAGTTAGGCCAGCTCCGATGAATGAGGATCAGGGTAAGTGAACTATAAAATCAGAAACTCCTACCATACTATTCCAATAGTGCAATTCCTTATGTGCTTGCAATAGGAAAAAAGAGCCTATACGTGATCCAAAGAAAACCAAAGTAAGCTAGAGTCACGCCAAGCCTAAGTATGATGAAAGAAAAGCCTAGTAGCCAGACAAAAAGGGGCATAAAGGGCTGAAGGAATATCCCCCCCTTTCCATGTAAGTCATAAATAGCCTCCTTTTGTGTGGATATGATACAAAGAGAGCTGAACTGGGGTGAACTAAAGAAAAAACAAATTACTTGTATATCTCTAAAAGCTATGCATTTCACAGAAGCTATGTGTCTGAAGAGTTTCTATAACTATAATAAAATACCATGACCAAATACAACCTGGGGAGGAAAGGGTTTACTTAAGCGTATAGTTCCATATCACAGGGATGTCAGGTCAGAAGCCCAAGACAAGAACCTGGAAGCAGGAACTTAGGTAGAAGCCATGGAAGGACACTGCTTCCTGGCTGCTCCCCAAGGCTTGCTCAGCCTGTTTTCTTATACTTGCCTAGGAATAGCACATTAACAATGGGCTGAGAAGAACCATCAATCAAGAAAATGCCCCAAAGGCTTGTCAACAGGAGATCTTATGGAGGCATTTTCTCAACTGAGGTTCCTTCACCTCAGATGACTCTAGCTGTGTCAAGTTGACAAAAAAACTAGCCAGTACACCATGTATAAGAGAGATGGAAGAGCATACTATGTCTAGGATACTGTAAATAACTTAAGTTTAAATCATTTGGCTTTAGGACTAGGTGCTCCTTATCAGACATAAAGGACTTTAGTATGTGGCTGGTGTCAATGTATATGTAGGAAGAGATGTGTCCATATCCCAAATCACATTATTTTAATATTAAAAAGAACTACTCGTATATTTTACATCAACTAAACTTTTTTTTAAAAGATTATGTATAGTGTTCTGTATGTATGCCTGGACACCAGAAGAGGGCACTAGATCTCATTAAAGATGGTTGTGAGCCACCATGTGGTTGCTGGGAATTGAACTCTGGACCTCTGGAAGACCAGCCAGTGCTTTAACCTCTGAGCCATCTCTCCAGCCCTCAACTAAACTTGATGAAAACATGAATATTAATTTTTCAGTGTAATGGATAGATTACATACATGTGACTTTTCAATCTTTAAGACTTTACCTTGGACTTGGCTGCCTTAACAAGAATCTCATAATTGGAGGGAGGTGGAGCTGGATGTTTTCGAAGCAGAGCATGTTCAGAAAATTCTTCATGAATCTTTTTTGCAACAGAAATATTTGCAAGTAACATAAATTCTTCCACCATGGAATTTGTTTCTCTGCCAGTTAGAAAAGCATTAGTAAATAAGAGAAGCCGAGACAACTGTCATCACATTTATTCACAAGTTACTTTTCTAGTGATCATGGAAATATTTCCCATGTAAAAACATTCACATGTGGCACATACCTATTTTTAATACCATAGCTGCTATATTAATGGTCTTACCCATGTCTCTCCTGGGTAAATCTAGTATGCTAGAATCATTTCAAACTGTATTGAAGGGAGGAGAGGGGGAAGGAAGCTTCCCTAACTTTAACATAAATATAAAACCAACATTTTTACCTCCTCTTACAAAAAACAGAGCTATGAAAATAAACTTTACTGGGAGAATTAAAAGCTAGGTCACACAATATTATCTAAACTCCCCAAATTTTTTCCAACAAATCACTAATATATTTTCAACAGCCAATTTGGGTGCTTTTCTCAGGTGACACTTTCTGCTATAACTCCATACAACACAGTAACACACACAACACACCCATCTGATTTCTATAACTCCCTACACACAGTAACACACACAACAGACACATCTGATTTCTATAACTCCATACACACAGTAACACACACAACACACCCATCTGATTTCTATAACTCCCTACTCACAGTAACACACACAACAGACACATCTGATTTCTTTAACTCCATACACACAGTAACACACACAACACACCCATCTGATTTCTATAACTCCACACACACAGTAACACACACAACAGACACATCTGATTTCTATAACTCCACCCACAGTAACATACACAGCAGACACATCTGATTTCTATAACTCCACACACACAGTAACACACACAGCAGACACATCTCATTTTTATAACTCCACACACAGTAACACACACCAGACACATCTGATATCTATAACTCCATACCTAGTAACACACACAGCAGACACATCTGATTTCTAGCTGACAGATGTGTAACATTATTTTCTTCACAGAGGTCATTTTTATCACCAGTGTCGAAACTTGAATTCATTTTGACTTCTCGATTCTTATAACAATCTGACCCACCTTTCATTCTCCAGTTACTCCTTCTAAGTTCTAAGCTAGTTTAATAAACGATCTGCATGCTGTATCTACCGTTTTCTTTCTCTGGAATCACTGAACACAGATTGTTAATTTTTGATCACGTTTTAGTTATTAAAATAATCCAATTCTTAACATTTCTAAAGTACATTAACTTTTAAAGTATTAGGAACCCCTCCATATGGGGAAGTCAAATGACTGTTACAACTTCTTTAAGTTGTATAAACAGTAAGATCCAAGGTTAAGATATTAGCTTCAAAACCACTTTTTTAGTAAAGACTTATTAATTTTTCAATTATGTGCAATGTTGCAGTGTGTGTGTGCGCGCGCGTGCGTGCATGCGTATGTGTGTGTGTGTGTGTGTGTGTGTGTGTGTGTGTGTGTGTGTGTGTATACACAAGACTGTAGGCCAGAGGCACTGAATCGCCCTGGAGCTGGAGCTACAGGGTGAAGTGAGCCATCAGATGTGGGTGCTGGGAATCCACCTTGGGTCCTCTCAAAAGGCAGCGATCTCTCCATGCAAAGCCTGTGGTAACTCGACCTCTGTATGCTGTACTAAGTACTTAAGAAATTAATCTGTGCAATCTTTTTATTTCTCTGTAACTATTACTACTCAAGTTCTAACATACATTAAATCAAACCAAGGTAAATTTGAGATTTCTCTACTACCTTATCCCAGTTTTGTATAAAAAAGTTAAGAAGTAAGATCACATTTACTAAGCCAAGAAACTTCACAGCTATCCTAAATGTAACAATTGTTTGGGATATAAATGCTGTGGTGATTAGTATCTACACTAGATATTACATTTAAAATTAATATTTAATATCAATTTAAAAAAACTACATGCCTCAGTTCCTTGGTCTGTAGATCTATTGGATCGTGAGTTTCACTGTCCATGTGGAATCGAACTTCTGGAGAAGACAGAGTCAAAGCCCTGAGTGAAAATAAGAGAAATTAGTCAGATGAGCCAAGGACAGAGAAAACATTTTACAAGCAATGTAGGTAGAGTTTTCCTGCCTGGCCCACAGTCAGGACAAATCTCTCTCACCTGCCAGTCCCACGATGAGAAACAGCATGTGAAGATGCCAGTAAGCCACGAGCCACGTGGCAAGGTATAGATTAATGGAAATGGATTAATTTAAGTTGTAAGAACAGTTGGCAAGAAGCCTGCCACGGCCATACAGTTTGTAACCAATATAAGTCTCTGTGTTTACTTGGTCGGGTCTGAGCGTCTATGGGACTGGCGGGTGAGAGAGATTTGTCCTGACTGTGGGCCAGGCAGGAAAACTCTAGCTACAAATGGCGTCCAACGTGGTGGCAAGAGTTTCCACCTAAAAACTGAGAAAAGATTCTAAAACAGAGCTAAAAACAGCTTCCTAATTCTCTCTCTCAAATGAGCAGCAGCTGCCGGTTTGAGCTACTGGTGGGTTCCTAGCGTGCGCTCGACCTGCAGTATGGCGGGAATGAGGCTTCTGCAAGTGGCACATTAAGCTGCATGGTGGATTTAGTCTTTGCTAGTACAAAACAAAAAAAAGAGGTTTCTGGGCTACACGCTGCTTGGATAAAAGCATAGACCCATGATAGCTCCCAGAGCTGGTGGAAAACTACCACCGCCATGTTGGGAAGCTGAGGTGGGCGGAGCCAGCAGCCACAGCTGCTGCAGTTTAAGGCAATAGATTCACAATAACACAGATTCAGATGTAATAGTTTACAATGTGTGTAAAATATACGTAGGCTTGAAAGAGATAAAAAAGGTGATATATAGAGTTATAGAAACAAATACATAGTTTTAAAAAATAAAGTCTTTAAAGAGACAGTAAAATTAATATAAAAAATAAGCCACGTAAAGATGAATATTACACAGAGAATCTGGATTGTGTTGTCTTTAACTGCAGAAAAACATTTGATCATAAAAGATGTTGAGTTAAACCAATATGTATATTTTAAAGATACCATGACTTCAAAATTTGGATGTAAGGATATGTTACTTTGGAAAGGAGACTCTGCTTTTGTTCCCACAGAAAGCCAAAGGCTATGGATTTATTCCAGATTAAGATACATCAGGTTTGACCAGCCAAGACCCCCTGAAAGATCTCCGATGACACCATGGCCCAGATGATCCAACATCCAGAATGGTTTCAAGGCAACTGGCTCAGATGATACAGCCTCATGGACTACTCCATAATCCTAAAATTTTCTTTGTTTCCCCATAAGATACAGCGCCCCCCTCCAGCAGGAAGTAGTAAGAGAAGCTACGCCCAAATTCCCAAATTATATGTAATTTTACTTTGTTAAGGTTAAAACCTTTCTTTTTGAAAAAAAAATGGGGGAAGTCCTGTTGGATGTTCTGTATGGCAAATGTGTTGCTGATTAGTCAATAAATAAAACACTGATTGGCCATTGGCTAGGCAGGAAGTGTAGGCGGGACAAGGAGGAGAATAAAGCTGGGAAGTGGAAGGCTGAGTCAGAGAGACACTGCCAGCCGCCACGATGAGAAACAGCATGTGAAGATGCCGGTAAGCCACGAGCCATGTGGCAAGGTATAGATTTATAAAAATGGATTAATTTAAGCTGTAAGAACAGTTAGCAAGAAGCCTGCCACGGCCATACAGTTTGTAAGCAAAATAAGCCTCTGTGTTTACTTGGTTGGGTTTGAAAGGCTGTGGGACTGGCAGGTGAGAGAGATTTGTCCTGACTGTGGGCTAGGCAGGAAAACTCTAGCTACAAAGCAATCCCTTTAAAACAGAAAATGAGTATACCAAGTACATAAGCATTTTTCTTTTTATGACCATCTACTAAGTTTGATGTTCTATTGTCATATAAAGCCTAACTCTTACATTTTTATTAAGCTACATAAACTTGCAACTACTTTTTTTAAGTGGCTAAAAGAACAGGCCAACTGGTATTTCATTTTCCATGGGAAACAATATATTGTGATGGGCAATGATGGAGAGGACAAGGCCAGCTCTTCCATAGGTAGGTGAATCAGAGAAGATGCATAGGCAACTGAGTGGAGACTGATAAAATTACTCCCACTCGTACATCATAAAGACTGATAGCTAGTCATATTAGGTTGCTGTGGTCTAAGAATATACTATGCTAAGGCTTTTTATGTGTGGTTCTTAATGAGGGGACTAGTTCTCCTTCGCAGATTTCACAAGGATACATAGAGAAATCTAAAGTGTTTTCAGATATGATGCTACTTTCACCAAGTTCCAAATCAATCTCAAAGTTTGTTTCTTGTTCTGTTTTTCTGGGTTTTTTTCCTTTAGTTTTTTGAGACAGGGTCTTAACTTTAGCTTTGGATAGATTCAGACTTACTACTTAGACCAGGCTGACCTGGATAGAAGTCATAGATCCACCTGCCTCTGCCTCCTGAGTGCAGGGATTAAAGGCGTGTGCTACTATGCATGGCCTGGAAGTAATTTTAATGAGATTGGGCAATCTTGGACAATCATGGGGAAGTTAAAAAAAAACAACAACAAAACCAAATTAATATTAACTTTATACTTAAGTGAAAAGCTTGGGCAGCTTTACTCAAATTTAATAATTCTGTTTTCATGTACATACCTCATCTGTAAAGAGTTTTAAATTTCATATTTAATTATTCAAATATGGTAGTCATTGGCCACAGCTGGCTGCAGAGCATAATTATCTGTGGTCGCAAGGAGTATAGAAGGATGCTCACTTGCATTCAGGAACTTAAGTTAGGCACTCTGCATGACTACACCAGAGGTAGCGTTTGCATTACCAGCAAAAACACTTTTCATAACTGGCACTCTTCAAGATGTAGAGAGAGCCCAGGGACCAACCTCTGAAAGGCTCTTGTACTTGGTTCCCTTACAGCAGTCTTTCAAAATTGAAGCTACTTTTAACTGCTTTCTTTTCTAACAAGTTTGAGCTGACACTCTCTTATACCTGTTATGGTTAGGCAAATGCCATGATATAATCTATTAAATATAGTCTACCAGCTAAGTAATCACCATTCTAACAAAATCCTCTAAAGAAGCCAAATGTTATCTCATATCATAACTGATATTAATCATAATCATAAACTAAGGCCTGTCTTAGTAGATTTTTTAAGAACATACCCCTTTTCAATCCTTCCTTTTTTTAGAATTTTAGCTAGTTTATTTAATCCACGGAGACTAGTGGTGATATCATCGTTCATAGCTGCTGAATCAATTCTCATCTGTGCTTCAGCATACGTAAGAGAAGCCTAAGAAAGAAACCTTAGGTTAACATAATTCTCACAACCGATAAAAGCGTATTTACTATATGAACCATACTGTGAATGTGTGTATCCATGTGTTAGTACTGGACCACACAGGCCACCATGCACGTATGGTGGTCAGAGATGCTAGTCCTTCCTCTTCCTTGGCCGAGACCGGGTCTCATCTTTTATTTTATCTCATATTCTACGCTTTCAAGAAGCCCAAAATAAGTAATGAGAAATCTACAGAGATTCTTAACTTTATACTAGGATTTCTGGTTTAACTGAGGCATTCATTATGTAACATAAGCAAATTTACATTAAAATAAAGGAAAATGGCAGTTTCCTTGATACTTTCATTTTTAGTATATTTTTAGGTAATACTAGAATATTCCTTAATACTTTCCTTTTGGTGTATTTTTAGGTAATATTTGAATAAATCATAAAGCAGATTCTGCCTATTCTCTGAAAAACTTTGCAAAGGTCATTACTTCCCTTTTCACTGGCAAATAAGAGTCTAGACGTATTTTATAGGAGACACTAACCAAAAAAAAAAAAAAAAAAAACGGACCAGAAAATGGGGTGAAAATGGTAACAGATAATCCAAATATGGAAATAGCTGCTTCTGCTTCTATCTAGATGGAAAAACTAATATTTTTTCAGATTAAAAGATAAAAGTAGCTTTATAATTAAAATTCAAAAACATCATAAGGGAGTAACATATTTTTTGGGGGTGGCGTTTTTTCAAGACAAGGTTTCTCTGTGTGGCTTTGGAGCCTATCCTGGATCTCACTCTGTAGACCAGGCTGGCCTTGAACTCACAGAGATCCACCTGCCTCTGTCTCCCAAATGCTGGGATTAAAGGTGTACACCAACACTGCCCAGTCTTAGAAAAATGTTTTATATGTTCATTAATTTCAATTCACAAAATTTTGTTAAAACTATATTTCAGAGGACTATCTTTAAAAGTTGAAATAATTCCCACATCACTATTTGCTTGTTAACAATTCCTTCTACTCGTCATCAGAACACGGTGATACGGACTTAGGAGAAAAAACTGGCTAACTTTCCGAAAACATCATTACAAGAAAAAGAACCCAGCATACTCTGGAGGACTATTAAGCACAAAATGAGAATGAACGTAAGAGAATATGGGGAGAGGTACAAAAATAAGAAAAATCTGGCTACATTGTTTGAACATAATCTCAGGTTAGTCCTACTGGAATCTAACTATAATTTATGGTAGCCAGGATGCACGTGGTAGTTTTTCAAACACTACTATTTTTAAGTAGGAATAGCCTCAATTACTAGAGTTACTGAGTTAGGACATAAAGCCCTTTAGTTGAGGTATGTCAGTTCTAAGTTCCTGAATACAGGACAATCACTACATAATTTCTTAATAACATCAATTAAATAAAGTTTAAATTCTGAAACAAATTAGGGACTGCTACAACACTGAACCTAACTTTTTAAAAAGTACCTAAGAAATTGTTAAAAGCACCAAAAATTTGAAATGTTAGATATAAATCATAACACTAACCTTTGAATTAATTACACTTTTGGTAAATCTTGTTTTTAAGATTTCAGCATTATGATTCATTTCCCAAATACAGGAAAATGCCAACCTTCAGGGAAAAAGAGATGGTATTTGTTTATGGGAATCAATTACTACAGTTAACAAGATACTCATATCAAAAAAAGTACAGAAATACCTGTCAACGTTGGATCTTAAGGAACATAAGTTAGAGCTAAGCAACTCTGGAACCATGTCAATCCTCTGAAAAAGATGGCAACAGATCTTAGATTACTCTATCATATTCAATATGTCTTAATTTCCATCTGCAAATAGCATCAAGTGAGCAGGAAAGGGTGGTATATTCTTGTCCCTTTGACTAGAGAATTAAAAACATGACAAAGTCTGTAGGAAGATACAAGACTGTAATTACAGAAGGCAGTAAGGGTGGCATGCATGCCAGTGGATTGAGGTTTCAGTCCTCTACATGAAGCACCTTCCTGTCATCTCGAAATCTGAAATTTCTGGTCTTTGTAGTTGGTACCTGGTAACTTACAAGCCCTTACCAACTGAGAGTTTTTCCACTACTAAACTCAACTACATGGTACTTTAAGGAAAAGCTTTATGGTCTACTTGGAGCATGATCTACAACAAATTAACTTCCCCCTTCTCCGCATCTCATCATCTGGTCTATGTAAATCTATGAAAACCATACTTGAAAGGATTTTTAATTTTTTGTATATGCAAGTTTTGCTTGCATGTCTGTGCAACACGTGCATGCCTGGTGCCTAAAGAGACCAGAAAAGGACACTGGATCCTCTGGAAATGGAGGTACAGACTGCTCTAAGACATCATGTGGAATTGATTCCAGGTCCTCTGGAAGAGCAGTCAGTCCTTTTAACTTCTGAGCCATCTCCTCAGTCCACCACCACCACTCAAAATCATAAAGAATCAATGCTACATAATGTCTATCAGCTAATTTAAATGTTATTTGGATCACTGGATATCAAAACAAACCTAATTATAATTTTTGTTTTGTGTTTGAGTATGGTATATGTTACAAGTTCATGTATGTAGAGGCCAGATGTTGAAATTAGGCATCTTCTTTGATCACACTCCGCTGTATTTTTTGAGGCAGGGTCTCTCACTGAACCTGGACTTCACTGATTTGGCTATGCTGGCTGGTTAATGATCGTCAGGGATTCGCTTGTTTCCGCCCACCAATGTTAGAGTCTCAGATGTGGTAGTTTCTGTTTGGCTCTAGGGAGCTGAACTCAGGACCTCATGCTTATGTGGTAGTTACTTTACCAACTGAGTCACTGCGCCAGGCCATAAAAGGCATTATTTTCTTCTGATTTAGGACACCTTCACCCATGTATTTCCTGTAGCTAAATATATCATGTATTTACTTCAAACTGTGATTGCTCATTAAACCAAAAGTTCCTGGCTCAGCCTTCAAAAAGATGAGATAGGATAATAAAGAGTTTGAGGCTAGTTCTGGCCTACGCATCAAGACCCCGAGCCCATCAAAACAAAATGCCAAAGTGCTATGATCAGTAAAAGATTTTAAATTTAATACATTTACCTTTTCACAAAGATAAACAGTTGTTCCTCTTCTGGCTGATTCTTGATCCAGTGCATTTCCTGGCCTGATAAAATGGCTAACATCAGCAATATGAACACCAACCTTAAAAAGATTAAAATGAAAGGATGTCAATCTGCATTATTACGAACACAGACATATTGTAGCAATAATTTTATATTCTGGCCTGGATTAAAGAAAACAATGAACCCTAGAACTGAATCACATCTAGCTAAGAGTATTGGGACAATATAGGTACCTCCAAATTTCCATTACTGAGTTCTCTACAATGCAGGGCATCATCTATATCAGTACATCCTGGAGGGTCTACACTGCAAACACACAGATGTCTCAGGTCTTCTCGGTTTTTCATGTCCTAGAAATCCCATGTTAAAAAGAAAAAAATAACTTGAGCAACACAACAGCAACAAAGCTCTTAGGAAACAAATATCCCCATAAAAATAAGTCAGCTTTCCATGTTATGGAGAAACTTGACATATGCTACCAGTTCTACAACCTGGAAGATGTCATCTTTCAGTGAGAAAAGCAAATGATTTCTGAAACACCTCACTGTCGAACATGGTCCAAGAATGGAGTTGAATTATTCTTGGATTAGGCTTTCATGCCCGTCCCAGGTGTTGCGGCTAGTAGTGAGTTTACTTTTATTTATTACAATTGGCTATTATTACTTGCTTATACACCTCAAAGGAAAAAACCTGTTTTTGCCACGTTCAGCTTATCCTTGTGACTGTACACCTTACTTATGTGACTCTACTTAACCCTCAGAGTATAAATTGTCTGATGCTTTGAATAAAGTTGCCTATTGCATTCAAGTTTAGTCTGCCTCATTTTTAGGCTCCATTCTCCCAGATTCCACCACCTAAGAGCAGTAAACACCTAATAATGCTGTAACTAACTAAACGTGAAAGAGCCATGGTTTCTACATTTTTTAAAAAAGCTTTATTTATTTATTATGTATACAGTATTCTGCCTACATGAATGCTGGCAGGCCATAAGAGAACACCAGATTTCATTATGGATGGTTCTAAGCAACCATGTGGTTGTTGGGAATTGAACTCATGACCTTTGAAAGAGCAGCCGGTGCTCTTAACCACTGAGTCATCTCTCCACCTCCACATATATTTTTTTAAAGATTTATTTATTTATGAGGTATACAGTGTTCTGTCTGCATGTATGCCTGCAGGCCAGAAGAGGGCACCAGATCTCATTACGGATGGTTGTAAGCCACCATGTTATTGCTGGGAATTGAACTCAGGACCTTTGGAAGAGCAGCTAGTGCTCTTAACGGCTAAACCATCTCTCCAGCCCAGATTCTACATATTTAAAAACACAGAAATTAACTGCATTCTGGTCTGGTGGCTCAGTCCTGTAACTCTAGGTACTCAGGAGCCTGAGGCAGGAGAAATGAAAGTTCAAGGTCTACTTGGGTTACAGAGTAAGATCCCAGCTAGCCTGGGCAACTTAGTAAGACCCAACTGAAAAGAAAAACCCAAATGTACAATAGGGCTGAGAACTTAGTCCAGTGGCAGAGTGCTTGACTAACCACAAAAGGCCCTATCTTCAATCACCAATACAAACAACATAGAAACCAAACTCCCTAGGATAACGGAGAATCCATAAAGTCACTAGGAATTCTTTTCAACTTACCTTCTCAGTAATGCTCCACGGCATCTTAGGCAGGAAGCTAAGAACAGCCTGGGAGAAAGGCTGGTGAGGAACATCATGCTCAAGCAACAAAACTTCGGTTTCTGTCTCTTTCTCTCCAACATCACCTAAATTTTTAACAAAGTGTCCCTGAAATCAAAAGGTATTATCAGAAAGGCACACTTTGCAACTAATTAATATTTTATTATACTAAATCTTCCAGCACTCTATGTATCACCTCAATATTTCTAAATCTTTCTCTAACATATTAAAAACAACCCTTTGGCCTGGTGGTGGTGGCACACACCTTTAATCCCAGCACTTGGGAGGCAGAGGCAGGCAGATCTCTGAGTTCGAGGCCAGCCTGGTCTACAGAGTGAGTTCCAGGACAGCCAGAGTTCTCAGGCTACACAGAGAAACCCTGTCTTCAGGAAAAATAAACAAACATACAAACAAACAACACCCTTTGGGCCTGGAGAGATGGTTCAGCAGTTAAGAACACTGTTGTTCTTGCAGAGGACCCAGGTTCGACTGCCAGCATCCACATGATGACTCCCAGTATCTGTAACTGCAAATAGATCTGACAGCCCCTGCTAGGACCTCCCTGTACACCAGGCATACACTGGGGTACAGACATACATGCAGGCAAAATGCCCATACACAGGAAAGCAAACAAACAAGAAAGCAAAAAGACTTTCGGTGAATCACAGGTGAAAAGGACAAGATTTTTCAATTGCCTTTGAGAGCCTGGTCCTTAGAGCACAATGCCTATGTTTAGTTCCTGTTAATTTTCAATGTAAAATCTACTTTAAAAGCAATACCTTCAAAATTTGGTTAAAATTTATTTAGGACACAAATGTTTCTTCCATAAAGTTTGTAAGTAAAGGTTGTTTGGCGATTTGAGTAAAAGTAGCCACTTTTACTCCATCACTTACACTAGAATTAGATAAAATTTATCTATGCTACTTATTAGGTAACCATGAAATAGTTGTGTACATTTTCACTAAAAAAATCAACAGTATTTGTCACAAACTCTAATTAAATACACAAAGGTAAAGTTAATATTTTAAGCTTACATTTGGATATCTAGAATTTCTAGGCCAACCATCAATAGCGACAATAATTCTCCGTCCTTCTAATGCAGAAGCCTGTCTGGTTTCTATCCGAATTCGTGGAATTCTCTTATCAGCAGGTGTAAAGAGATGTCTTCTTGACTAGAGAAAATTAAAAAAATTATTTACCATCCTGGGGATCAATCATAGTAGCCCTAGAACATGTTAGACAAGTCCTGTACCACTGAGTTACACCCTAGCAGGGGAAAAGCGACTGTATACAGTCTGGAGACAGGGCAGAGAGAGAGCTTTGAGTTCTAAACAGTGACCACCAGTGTCCAGTCACGGTGACAGGTACTTCACTCACCTCCTTAATGTCAGACTTGGAAAGCATGCCACAATACGGTCTCCAGTTCCTTTTGATGATTCCTACAACTCGACCGGTAGGCCGTAACATTTTTTCACTTACAGCAGTCTTAAGCTGAAATACAAAAACAAAAATCTTCCATTATTTTTCTAAGTAAAATGAAATAATTTTTCTTCCAAATTAGAATATGCACATGGACACTAATGCATTTCAGGTAGCAAATAATGACATGAAATTCAGAACCTTTATGCCTCAAAGTTCTAGACATGAGCATACCAACTGCACAATGCTCATTGTTCCATGATAATAAAGCACTCCATAAATGGTAAGTCAAGAAGCACGCTGCTGAATAAATGGGTCAGAACTTCCTGTTTTTCAATTTAATATAAGGATTTACTGACAAAAACACATGCAACTCTAGGATTATGAGACTGAGACTTAGTACCAGTTTAGATTAATTAGATATATGTAGTTACTAATTAGGTACTATGTAGTTATTATAGTGAACATGTCATGTTGGATCTAATCCATTACAAAATAAAAGCATCTTTGACAGTTCTATCTTATCCTAAATTAAGAGTCAAATAAAGAATGTAAACCACTAGAAATAGATCCTATAAAATTATACCTCTAACAATCCCAAAGGATTGGATTCTGCAAGAATGTTCTAGTAAGACTGCAGGAAATTAAATATAAGTAATGAAAAGAGGAGCTACACGTGCTACATTGAATACAAATGTGTTATCCTCATAAAACGGGTAAGTAGGTCACTTCTAATAGACTTAATAACACATGAGAAATAACTCATCCTACCTGATAAATGTATTAGTAGAAATGCAATAATTAAGCAAGTCCAAATGCAAAGACCTAGAAGCATGTTTTCTAAGAAAATTTTAACATTGCAAAAAAAATTTCAGAAAGTTTTACATTTCTATTTACTTAAACTTCATTAATTCAGATCATATACTGAATGTTAACAGACTTCCACTTTCATACTAAACAACTCTAAGTACTTAAACTCATTTGAGTACAATGTCACTGAAAGAACATGAGTTTGTGGACTTAGAACAGAAATCAACTATGCACATAGCCTGCATAACTTGCATTAAAATTGAGAGTACAGAACTTGAGACTGGAGAGACGGACGGCTCAGTAGTTAAGAGTACTGGCTGCTCTTCCAGAGGACCTGGGTTTGATTCCCCAAATCCACATGGCAGCTCACAACTGTCAGTAATTCCAGTTCCAGGGGATCTGATATCCTTTTCTGGCTTCTGAAGGCAGTGTACACACATGATGTACAGACATCCATGCAGGCAAAATACCCATACATGTGAAATAAAAATGAATAAACCTTTAAAAAAAGTTCTGAACTGTGATTTCACTCAGTAAATATGAAAACAATGGCATGTTAAACATTACAACAATATGGACGAAAACCAAAACTTGCATTCTCTCATACCATGAGTTCTCTCTCCTCATCTTTCTCCACATCATCTTCATTTTGGCCTTCATCTTGTAAAACCACAGAAGATGGTGCCACCCACTGACTCTTGGGCAGAAGTTCCACAGCCACAATGTCTTCATGAATAGCTCTGTTTAGATGTTTAAGTCCTTGTATAAGTATCTGTGTAAAACAATAAGTGGCATGGTATGTGTTGAAATAGATTTAATGACAATAATGAAAAAGTCATCTAATAGAGGGCAATATTCTAACCACTGCATATAATATCTAATTCTCTTAATGGTTTTTCTATTTTAAAATAATAAGCTATGTCAGGCTTATTGGGTAAAATTGTATTACACAAACTTAGTTTATCTGAATTTGGTCCCCAGAACCCATGGTGGAAGGAGAGAACTGACCTCTGAAAGTTATCCTTAATTTCTCCATCACACTTTGGCAGTTCACTCCCAACTCACATATCCACATCATATATACACAATCTTAATCATGTTAAAAATTAAAATAAAGTACTATTCTTTATATACTCTTAATTTTTAAACTTCAAGGAGAAAAAAAATTTCAGGACATATGGGTTTTGTTTATAACTCCACCATAAACAATGGCAATTAAATACTTGGGAAGATCAAACTACTTAAATCTCAAGATCTTGGCTGGTAAAAATGAAAACACAACTACTTTCATGGCTTGGGGTTGAAGACTAAGGAAAATGCAGCAAGTCAAAAGTTAGAGAAATTTGATAAATAAAACACTCTAGAGCTGCTATCATGTGTTTGTGAAGCCTCCTTTTTGTTGTGCATATATTATTTATTACAAGTAGATATATAAAACAGAAATATCTCATTTTATAGTATTTGATAATGATTCTCTTAAAAGGTGAGTTAGTAGAAAACTTTTAAATAATCAGTCTCATAAAAAAGTCATTTATTAGCTGAGCAATGGTGGTGCTCACCTTTAATCTCAGCACTTGGGAGGCAAGCAGGATCTCTGTGAGTTCAAGGCCAGCCTGGTCTACAGGGTGAATTCAAGGACAGTATGGCTAAGCATAGAAACCCTGTCTCAAAAAAACCAAGCCAAATCAAGCCAAGCCAAGCCAAGCCATAAAAAAAAAAAAAAAAGGTCCTTTATTGTACTAGTATTTATTATTCTTTTACCAACTAGGAAGAGAAGAAGGTAAGGTGGAGAAACGGCTCTGTCATAAGGTGTGTCTTAGAAGCATACAGATCTGAATAAGTCCACAGACCACAGAAAAATCGTGGGCACGGTGGTCCACACCTGTCATCCAGCCATAAGCAGGTAGAGACAAAGGATCTCTGGAACTTACTGGCCAGTCAGTCCAGCCTAACTACTGAGCTCTACGTCAAAACAAACTCTATCCACAAGGAAATAGGCCATGCTTCTAAGGATATCACCTGTGGCTGTCTTCTGGCCTCCACTCACAGGTACATACGTGCACATGTTAATTAAAAATAAAAAGTGAGGCAAATTTAAATTATCATACAAAAACTGTAATGAGCACAATGTATTTTAGTGTATAAAGAATTTATACAGGGGCCAGAAAGATGGCTCAGGAGAAATCTTAGGCTTACCACTAAGCCTAAGATTCTGAGTTCAATACCTAAGACCCACTCTTTGCAAAGAGAGAACCAACTCCTGTTCAAGTTTTTTTTCTGACCTCCACACATATTGTGCATGCACATATACATCACAAAAATAAAATTTTAAAAAAACTTTAAAAGGCAAATTTACATACTGTCTTAGTTAGGGTTTCTATTGCTGTGATGAAGCACCATGACCAAAAAGCAAGTTGGGAAGGAAAAGGTCTAGTTGGCTTACACTTCAACATTGCTGTTCATCACTAAAGGAAGTCAGGACAGGAAGTCAAACAGGGCAGGATCCTGGAGGCAGGAGCTGATACAGAAGCCATGGAGGGGAGTTGCTTACTGGTTTGCTTCTCAAGGCTTGCTCAACCCACCTTCTTCTAGAACCCAGGACCACCTGTCAAGGAATGGCACCATCCACCATGGGCTGTGCCCTCCTTTACTGATCACGACTGAAGAAAATATCTGACAGCTGGATCTCATGGAGGCATTTTCTCAACTAAGACTCCCTCCTCTCTGATGACTCTAGCTGATGTCGACACACAAAACCAGCCGGTACACATGCTTACCTCTTTTTCATCATCTTTGTCTCCATGAATCCACACTGTAGCTTCTAAATAATTTTCCCTGCTAGCTCGAAATGTTCCTTGAAGGTATGAACCAGATTTTATGCCTTGTTGGAGCTTACTTAAAGGAAGGTGCTCTGAAAATATTATTTTTCCACTTTCTATTTCATTCTATGAAATAAGCAAATCAAAAGTCTGTTATTTAATGTACTGTTTTCAAGAGCATCATACAAGTTAAAAATCTACTTTATGAAATATACAACTGAATTTAAACTAAGAGGAATATATTTTCAGGGCACTGCTATCTAAAACAACTTGCTGTAATGAAAGTGCTATCTTTTCAATGATGTTCAACATGGTAGTCACTAGGTACAAATTCTCTGAAGAGTTGAAATATGTATAATACAGCTGAGAAAATGGATTTTAAAATTTAAATTACATTTAAACATCAACATGTAACTAGTAACTAGTTATTAGAGAGGGTACTCCAAAAAACGTATTCCAAAAGGCCAGTCCAGCTTGTATCTTCTAGCATTCTTTTAGTTTTGTAAAGGAGTTAAAGACAAACAGGATGGGAGAAAAATTGTTAAAGAAACAGAATGGTTTGGAACCTAGGGCCTATGGTGACACTGTGCGCAGCCTTGGTGTAGGGAGGAGGGGCTTGGACCTGCCTCAACTGATGTACCAGGCTCTGCTAACTCCCCATGGGAGACCTCGCCTTGGAGGAGGTGGAAATAGGGGGTGGGTTGGGGGGAAAGGCTGGGGGGTGGGAGGAGGGAGGACAGGGGAATCTGTGGTTGATATGTAAAATGAATAGAAAATCTCTTAAAAAAAAAAAAAAAGAAAGAAACAGAATGGATATATGTATCTTGTCCTATTAGATACATCTACTTTGGTAACAACAGCTATCATTGTTATCAGGTAATAACACTTGAGTCATGAAAGAGGATATAAAGTGAACTGTTTTTCTTTTTGATAAGGTAGATTAAGCACTTAAAAATATATTTGATAGTCAAAGTGTGAAATTCAATGTGAAGTTCCACAGCTTCAGAATGGTCACTAACTGTACAGAAAGTCATTAAGACTTTGGGTCTTATTAATAATACTGCATATTTTTTATTTGTGAGGTCTTAAGACAACATTTTTAATTAAAACAATAGCTACCATTTACATTTATCATAGCTATGTGCCAAGCCACGAGACAAGAATTACATGAAGCTTCCGACTATACTCCATTCAGCTCTGCTAATAACGGCATAGTTATTGCTATTTAGCTTACATCAAGTCAATTTATTTAGCAACATCATTTCAATAAGCCAATCACAATTATCTTTTCTTGTTTGGTTGTTTATAACCTCACTCTGTTCCTATTCTAGCTTATTGGCATGTTCTAATTTATAAATCTGGAAACTATAAGTCTAATGTCCAAGATGGCTATTTTTATATTTTCTTTTTTTCAAAAACAGAACATACTGAAACATACCATTTCTTCAGACAAACAAGCAAGACGATCTATAAGTTCAGGGTTAGCAGTCAGGCTCTTTACATATTCTTCACCTGAAAAATAAGTTAATGTTTTTAAATTTAAGGGTCCATAATTTTATCTAGGCATGAGAGAACATGGGTGATCTTGTTTTGATAGTACATCTGCCATTTTTTTTTTTTTTTTTTTTTTTTTTTTTTTTTAAATATTTTTTTTTAAGATTTTGTTTATTTATTATGCATACAGTGCTCTGCCTGCATGTATCCCTGCAGGCCAGAAGAGGGCACCAGATCTCATTACAGATGGTTGTGAGCCACCATGTGGTTGCTGGGAATTGAACTCAGGACCTTTGGAAGAGCAGCCAGTGCTCTTAACCTCTGAGCCATCTCTCCAGTCCCACATCTGCCATTTTTTATACATGAAACAAAAGCTAAATCTGTTGATGTGATCATAACTAAAAAGAAGCAATGGGTCTAGTATACATGAATTTTTACTATGTTAACTGCAAATAGTGAGGAAAAATTAACAGCCACTATTTACAACTGCTTATTAGCTCACTAGCTGAGAAATTTAAAATGTAAAAAGAACGTGGGGCAGTAGTGGCGCATGTCTTTAATCCCAGCACTCAGGAGGCAGAGGTAGAAGGATCTCCGTGAGTTCCAGGCCAGCCTTGTCTACAGAATGAGTTACAGGACAGCCAGAGTTGCTGTTATTCAAAGAAACCCTGTCCCGAAAAACCAAAAGTAAATAAATAAACATAGTAAAAAGAAGTCTTTAAAATAAAATGTAGAAAGAAAGATGGCTCAGCAATGAAAATCAGCTGCTGCTCTTGCAGGGGACCCTGTTTCAGTTTCCAGCACCAACACGGCGGCTCATAACCATCCCTAATTGCAGTTCCACAGCTCTGGACACCTACTTCCGACTTCCAGTCAGGGCATGCATGTAATGCACATACATACATGCAGGCAAAAGATGCGCACATTAAAAATTGAAAAATATTTGCTTCAAATGTAAAAAGATCGTAAGAAATTATACAGGACAATGAGATAATGAGTCATGTGAACATTTGGCCTGATACTAATTTTTATATACAGTTGCAAACATGCATAAAAGCGTCTATGTTCAGACCTACATGTGAAAGCTGGTATTCCCTCTTCTACAGCTTTGTCTTTGTTTTTCTTGTCATTTGTTATAAGGATAACTTGTAGCTGACTTTCTGCTGACATTTTCTTCAAATGTTCGTTGTACCATTTTGCTGCTACTCGGATGGCTCTATCATTTCTGTCATTAGCATTCTCCCCCTGTTCTTGCTCTATGTAGGTCTCTCTAAACGTAAAAAAGGAAGAAACCACAAAATACAAGGTAAGCAGCAGAAACAAGGACGTGTAAAAACTTGAGTGGTCTGACAGGCACTGAAGTGAAAAGTCAGTGGGTATACATATTTCACTTGAACTTCTACGGTCAAAATAATTCTGATAAGATCCTTTCAAGTTCTCAAGACAACAATTTTCTGGAGAAGAAATTTATGTTATTAATGGGAAAATATAGAGGTTCAAATAGTTTCATTTCACAAAAAGAAAATGTTAGAATTTAGACTTCACACTGGGGTGTTAAATAATAGTTTCCTGGGTGGGAGGGATTAATAGAACTTTGGAGACCAGATAATAAAACTCTACTCAACAAACCATGGATTAACAGGCAACTGCTAAGCTCTACAGTGTGACCAACTGTCACACTGTATGATCATGTGATTCAATGGCCACTCAATCCATGATCCATGTAGATCATCCATGGTCAACACTAAATACATAGCAAAGACTATGTAGAACCTATAAGGCCACAGCTCTCAAATATAAAAGTACATTTACATACTTCTTTAAGTCTGTTCTTCAAAGCCATATTCTTAGTATTACTTTATTCCCTACCATTAATTGTACTTACTAATGCTTCCAGGGGTGTCCAGCCTTTGGACACTGCAACATAATTCTGTGCATCTACAAATGTGTTGGGCCACATTCGTAACTATTCTGGTGCACAGGGGTCCTCTGGTTACAAATCTGATAAACCTAAGCTTATCTGTAAAAGACATGGTCATAAAATTTGAATTTGGTTTTAACGTGACGGACTTAAGTAACAAAATCTACATGAGATTTGCTTAGTGTTCTAAAGTCTTCCAATCAGTCCCTATATTGCTAATTCCTACTCAAAAGCACTTAACTAATAAACATCCTACTAAGCCTACATTAGCAATCTGATGCGCATGTTCCATACAATCTTGGTCTTCTGGTACTAGAAAACAAGTGGTATCTGTTTCTGGAGTTTAAGGAGGTGCAATGAATAAGCAGCCCACAGGCACTTTTACTGTGTGTGTGTGTGTTTAAGCAATACTTAGTTTCAAGATATAAGAAAGGACTATACCTGACAGGTATGGAAACATTTTGAATTACTACACTTGGGACTAATAGGGGAATGCTATTGGAACACACTTGGCCTATATAGGCCAAACATGCTACCTACATGTACCTACAACCTATAAAATAGTTTTCACACAACAAAAAACTACTCAGTTCAAAATGTTAATAATTTCAAGGTTGAGAAAGTATCATAGACACCCATCATAAATTATTTATGATTATAGGCAATCCCTTTATGTTCTGAGAGCACACATTGAGTTCAAAGGTCATGAACCTAAATTATAATGAAGAATTGTTTTTAGAAATCCAATTCAATAAATCAGCTGTAAGATATGAACCTTTAAAACTTATTAATCATAATTTCATATTTTAAAAATCATTTTCACAAACACACATTTTTAAGCCTATATGTTATTCACATCTTATGATATCGCAGGAGCCTGAATGATAGATCATTTCCAAAGAATCTATCATTCAACTCAATATACACAACTTAAATGGAGTATTTCTGACACAAAAGTACTATTATAGCCAGCAGCTCCCAGTTTAAGGTGTGACCTCACTGACACTGTGATCTTACTTGAGCCCCACTTAGCAATGTTTTCTACACAGCTACGTAACAACCAAACAGCACGTCAAACTACAGACCGTCTTTGATGAGTGACTCCCAGGCACTTCCCTTTAAATTTCGCGAGCTCTACGGTCTTCTGATACTTACTTATGGTGCTCATTAGTGAACGTATAGAAATGCTTCTCCTGGTTATTCGTCACATCCCTGATTCGTTTATATATAGGGGCACTCCGGTTTCTCACTTCCTGCAGGACTGTCTGTAGCACAATTACATTCCTGATAGCAGGGTCCTCCAGAACATCAATCTTAAAAACAAAAACACAAAGTTAATTTTCCCATGTTCTCTTAGAAATTGTTTCTGTCAAAGCCTAAAATTCTGTTACAGTTTAATCCACTGACTCTCCGTTAGGCCAAAGCGTTACTCTGCTGTAGAAAAAGTGACAACCGTCACTTGGGCCCGGTAGGCTTGACAAGAGCACCCGTGCACGGACCGCAAAAGTCTGCAGTATTAAAGCTATGAACAAATAAATATGCTGGCCCACACAGTTTTTGTTCGTAGGCACTTACAAGCTGCCTGGGGGTCGCACTCTGGATGCCACAGAAGCCCAGGTCCCCGGCTTCCAGGCACTTATAATCTAAAGTAGAAGAGACACCAGGAGTTAGCAAATTAACGTGTCTAAAACTACGACTCCAAGAACCGAAAAACGGAAAGAAAAACAACATTAGGGAAAAGTACCTCGGCCTGGATAGCGGGAAGCGAGGGTGGCCACAGTAGGGGCCTCTCCATCCCAAGCCCCGCCTCCTCCCCGGTTCCCTACCTGCCACGCCCCCTTGTCACCACGCGGCGTCCCGCCGGGCCCCGTACCTGGTGCAGCAGCACGTTGGTGTCCGGCAGAAGGTAGTGCGGCCACGGGCAGAGGCTGCTCGCCTGGTCCCGGGGCTGCGACTCCAGGGCCGGGCCCGCGTGCGCCCCGTCGCAGGCCGCGCAGGCCGGGGCCCCGCAGCCGATGTCATCCCGCAGGTAGTGCTCGCGCACGATCTTCACCACGCCGCCCGCGCGGGTCTTCTTTAAGAACGTCTTGGACTTGAGCATCTTGTCTCCCGGCGTAGAATCCGGACCCGGGCGGAACCCAGACGGCTACGGAACTCCAGCGGAAAACACGTCGGATCAGAAACCGAGGCGCCTCAGCGAGCTGCCCCTCGCATTTCCTCTTCTTCCCCGCCGCGAGCAGGGAAATACTCACGTCTCGCGAGAAAATATCAAGTCGGACTGGTAATGTTAGCTCCCTGATGGTCGTCACGATTGGGCGAGAGTAGATCGTTTCCGCCCTCCGCCGGGCGGGGCTCTCCTGCGGACTCCAACTCCCAGCCTGCACCGCTTCGGACTGGCTTCCGGGGAGGGAGGGCCTGGGCACCTGCGCGCCCCGGCTTCTTCCGACTTCTTCAGGGGCAGGGCGGATGGTTGTCTTGGTGACCGCTCCCTAACGGTCTGGTGGCCTGAGATACTCTTACAGGGTTTGCAGCCTGAGCTGCTGACTGAAGACGCCTTTGGTTCCTCCAAGTGTCCGAGGTGAGGCTGGTGTTAGCCTTGTATGCGGCATTACTGACGCTTCAAACAGCTCCCGGGAATCTGTTCCCCTTTCTTTCACGCGTGGTGCAAAGATGCTAAAATGCATCAAGTGTAGAATTTGTAAATCTTAGCCAAAGAGGGAGAAGCCCGTCCCTGGTCCTTTGTAACTCGCGCGAGGATTTGTCTTTGATTTCACCTTTCTTCACCCTTTCCCCTTATAAAGGCTCCTTCCCGATGTAACTTCTGTGCAATCTTATAACGACAAAAACAGAAGGCATTGTCTCCTTGAGTTTGAGGTTCTTGGTATGAATGGGCTTTATCCTTTCTCTTTTACACGGCTGTATTTTCCTGTTTCCTTCGAGTAAGATTCTTGCTCCACTGCCATGGTGGCGCACGTCTTTAATCCCAGCACTCCGGAGGCAGAGGCAGGCGGATCTCTGTGAGTTCAAGGCCAGCCTGGTCTACAAAGCGAGTTCCAGGACAGCCAGGGCTACAGAAAAACCCTGTTTTGAAAAACAAACAACAATAACAACAAAAAAGATACATATATATATATATATATAATGCACACACACATATATATATGTATATATATGTTTAAATTGGTCAAAGGGCTGAGTTCATGATAGAATTTAGTGACCGAAGCCGGGTGGTGGGCACACCTTTAATCCCAGCACTCGGGAGGCAGAGCCAGGTGAATCTCTCTGTGAGTTCGAGGTCAGCCTGGTCTACAGAGTGAGATCCAGGACAGGCACCAAAACTACACAGAGAAACACTGTCTAGAAAAACCAAAAGGAAAAAAAAAAGAATTTAGTGACTCAATATTTGATTTGAGCAGTAATTCATGGTAGTGATCTGGCATAGATTTGAGATCTTTCGGTGCCTAATGGTCTAGGCAGTCTTTAGTATCTCATTAATGCACTATATGCTCGTAATGGTTTTTTGATATATTTAAGTTTATTTCTTTTTACTCTACAGAAGATTGACCCAGAATAATAAAATGTCTCGAAAAATTGCCAAGGAGTCAAAAAAAGTAAACATCTCTAGTTCTCTGGAATCTGAAGATATTAGTTTAGAAACAACCATTCATACAGATGATGTTTCCTCATCAGAAGAACGAGAGGGTAAAGTCAGAATTACCAGGCAGTTAATTGAAAAAAAAGAAATACTTCATAATATTCAGTTACTGAAAATCGAGCTATCCCAAAAAAATATGATGATCGACAATTTGAAAATGGATTATCTTACAAAGGTAAGAACAAATGCAAATTTTATTTTACCTGCCTTATTGTATTTAAAGTGAAGATAAATAAGAAGTTGGTATATAAGTCATGTGTGGTGGCACACACCTTTAATCCCAGTACTCTGGAACCAGAAGCAGGTGGATCTCTGAGTTCTAGGCTAGCTTGGTTTACATAGTGAGGTCCAGGACATCCAGAGCTATGTAAAGAGACACTGTATCAAAAAATATATATATACGTGTAATCAGAACTTAAATGATAACATTACTTTTCCAGTACTGACTTTTTATTCTTTGCATATTAAAAATGGGTGTTTTAAATGTGAACATGGACGGATTACTTTTGTAGGCTTACTTTTTAAAGCGCAGCATTAGTGTAATATGTATTTTCATAGGAGTGATTTGTAGCCGAGTTTTGTGCTTCACCAAATGTGATGTGACTGACAAGTTTGATAAGAAGAATCAAGATCCTGATTGTATTGTTGAATCTGAGTTGTCCTTTCTCTGGAAATCTGATTTCCTTGTTTCCTTCCTACACAGTTACTATGTGTCTGAGAGTTGCTGTATCACAGAAGTCAGGCTTAACCGACCACTGTCTTTAGCAAATGTGTCATGTAGATAAGGATGGTCTGGCTCTTGTATTTCTGCCTTGTGTGCTTATTTAGTCCCAGGGTAGTTCATGGAATACCTGGTAGAGATTAACTAGCCCTAAGAAATAGTGAGCGATTACAAGACACATTTCTTTAGTGTTACTGCTCGTGTTCCTAAGAAAATCATTTCCTCCTGACCGTGAACTGACTTTACTCGTGTTCTTAGCTCTTCCTGCGTTAGCCTCTCTGTCCAGCACTGTTTCTTTTTGTTTCATTTGTACTTTCTTGTTAACTTGTTCTTCTATTTTAGTTCAATGCTGTGTATACTAAAATACTACAGTGGCCTTCTACTAGAAAAAAATATTTATTTTGGGCCAGTGACATGATTTGGTGGGTAAAGATGCTTAACCATGCAAGCCTGGGGACCATCTACGGGCTACATAGTGAAAAGAGAGAGCTAACTCCTGAAAGTTGCTCTGGCACGCACACACTTGCACACATACATAACTTGAGAGTAAAAAGGAAGGGCTGGGGAAATGACTAGTCAGTTATAACACTTCTTACAGATGGCCTGGGTTCGAGTCCCAGAACCCACAGTTCCAGGGGATCCAATGCTGTTTTCTGGCCAGTGAGGGAACCCGACACAAACATGGTACACATACATACACACAGACAAAACATTCAAACACATAAAAATTCAGTAAACCATAAAATAAAAGATTGATTTAAATTTTTATTGTTTATTAATTTTTAAAGTGCTAGGGATCAAATCCAGAGCTTTCAGCCTGCTTCACAAGTGCCCTGCCCACGAGGAAGCTAGAACAGTTTCTTAACGGTGCCTCTCTAGAAAAAGCAGAAAATGCAGTTAGACTCGTCTGTTTTAAAGGAGAAACAAGAAGGGAAAGGAAGGGAAAAGGAAACAATAGACAAACTCAGGACCAGTTAGTTGTGTAGGGGTTTACAGAAAGCACAGCATACTGGAGAACTGGAAGATTTCTCTGGGTTAGAGCCGTGTCTTCCTCAATTAGTCACAGAGGAAGAGTACTCTCTTTAAGAGTACTCGGCTACAGTGTAGAAGTTTTCACAAAGACAGTTACTTGAAAGTGGTGAATGTCTGTTAGCATATTTTAAAGGTAAGCTAAAGGGAGATGTGGAGGTTTGTGACCTATCAAGAAAGGAAATTGGTGGGGAACCTACAGTGGTCCAAGCAAGCATGTCACAAGAGACCCGTTTTCTTTTTTACTCAGAAGCTACAGGGTGAGTGAGTTTAGCAGTTACTCGTTTTGTTTGGGGTGTTTCTGATGTCAGCCATGTGGTAGTAAATGGAAGGTGTGCAGCACTCGGACTAATGACTACCAGTATGAGCAGAGTGCATCCATGAAGCTCCCCTCTGAGTGAACTGCATGTGAATTAAGGACAAAGCCATCTCAATGATAGCCTGGCGCAGACATTTCTGAGACAGTAGCTTCAGCCCAGATTCTTTGAAGACTCTTACTCTGTTTCTTCTAAGTGTTTGTTGTTGTGTTAAGGGAAAGCTGAGTGTGTAAACTGTGTTCCCTCTGTTCAGATTGAAGAGCTGGAGGAAAAACTGAATGACGCCCTTCACCAGAAGCAGCTGCTAACTTTGAGATTAGATAATCAGTTGACTCTTCAAAAGAAAGATACCAAGTAAGACATGTTTTTCACAAAAGCCTAACATCTTTTTATCAACTCAAAGTCATTTTATTCTTGTTTATGTGTGCTGTTATGGGCTATAATAGGAAATTTTAAGTTAGATATGCTTATTATCCTCACATGCAGACCACCAAAGGGCAAGTTGCTTTATAACAGTATACAAATGCTCAGTTAAAATTTAACATTTATTCAACAAATACTGGCCCTCTAAGCAACCCATCAATTATGTAAGGAGCTTTCTGAACTGACCACAACTTGGTATGTAGATGACCTTTTTCTTCCTTCACTTTTCAAACCTTCTGCACTGTCACAGCTGTTTAGTATACTATTACTGTGCCTGTGTATTTTCTCCAGCTAGATATATACCTGTTAACAGTGAACTAAGCCTGGTATAATGGCTCCCACCTTTAATCCCAGCTCTCGGGAGGCAGAGGCAGGCTGATCTCTGTGAGTTCGAGGCCAGCCTGGTCTAGAGAGCTAGTTCCAGGACATCCAGAGCTGCACAAGAAAACCATGTCTCGAAAAACAAAAAAAGGAGTTCAAGCTCATCCTTGGCTACATAGTGAGTTGAAGGCCATGGCTAGTTGAGGCCTTATCTCAAACAAATAGGCAAAGAAATGAAGTAAAAATTTATTGTTTACTCTCAAATGTACCTATGCCAATTATACCTATGTAATTTAATTTAAAGTGATATAAACAATGACATTTTAGTAGAAAAATCTGTGTTGTTTCTATAAAAACAAAAATAAGTTCATTGGAAACACTCAATGAAAGTGAATAGCAAGGTTATAGAAATAGCCCAGCAGTTAAGAGTACTGACTGCTCTTCCAGAGGTCCTGAGTTCAGTTCCCAGCAACCACAGAGTAGCTCACAATCTAATGTACTCTTCTGGTATGCAGGCATACATGCAGACAAAGCACCTGTATACACAGAAAAATGAAGGCATGGTAACTCATGCCTTTAATCCCAGCACTTGGAGAGGCAAAGGCAGGCGGATCTGTATGAGCCAAGTCTGCTCTACAGAGTGAGTTCCAGCCAGCTAGAGCTACATAGCAAGACTTGTCTGAAAATAAACAAATAAATAAATAACAAATCAACCGAGGCAAGATAGGTATAAAGACAAAGCAAAACCATCAATGAGGGGTGTTGATGGCACATGCCTTTAATCCTAGTACTCAGGAGGCAGAGCTAGGTAGATCTCTGTGAGGTCGGGGCCAGCCTGGGCTACAGAATGAGTTCCAGGAAAGGCGCAAAGCTACACAGAGAAATCCTGTCTTGAAAAACCAAAAAAAAAAAAAAATCAATGAACATTATCTCTCAGATTTCTGTCGGTGTCTTTTAAGCTCTCCTCTAGGATAGGGAAGTGGCTCAGAGGTAAAATGATTGCTGAAAGACCTGAGTTTGAATTCCCAGTAAAAACTGAGAGTGGTGGTATGTTCCCAGAACCCCATCATAGCAAGGGTGGAGACAAGTAGATCCCAGGAGTTCACGGGCCAGCCAGTCTAGGATGGTGACCTCTAGGTTCAGTGCATGCTCCTGTTTTTAAAAAGTAAGGTGAAGAAACAGCTGAGAAAGACATTATGACATCAGCTTCTGGCTTCCACACTGCTGGGATGGGTCAGTGGTTGGCTTCGCTGGCTGAATGAATACCTTATGGGGTTCAGTGTTAACTGCATTAAAGAGATATGTCTTGCAGTACCAAGATCAAAGAGAAATGGAAATTAATAACTAGAATCCAAAGCCAATATATAAGGATTAAGACTTTAGCAGATTAAATGTATAATATTGTGATTTGAATTTTTGGTTACTACTTAAGAATGTTGGTCTCTAATAATTTGGAATTATACGTTTACTAATCTATGGATTAGTCACTTCATGTTTAATTAATTAGATAAATCAGCACTCATGATAGCCAAGAATACTATATGGAACTCAGAAAAATCTCAGTGATTTTAAAGCTTGTCATGAATTCTCTCAATGTAGGAAATATCAAGAACTAATGAAACAAGAAATGGAAACCATTTTATTGAGACAGAAACAACTAGAAGAGACAAATTATCAGCTAAGAGAGAAAGCTGGAGATGTCCGTCGAAACCTGCGAGACTTGGAGCTGACAGAAGAGCAGTATGTGAAGCTGAAATCCTTTCCTGAGGACCAGCTCTCCATCCCTGAATATGTGTCTGTAAGTGTCCTGAGGACTAGCTCTCCATCCCTGAATATGTGTCTGTAAGTGTCCTGAGGACCAGCTCTCTGTCCCTGAATATGTTTCTGTAAGTGTCCTGAGGACCAGCTCTCTGTCCCTGAATATGTGTCTGTAAGTGTCCTGAGGACCAGCTCTCTGTCCCTGAATATGTGTCTGTAAGTGTCCTGAGGACCAGCTCTCTGTCCCTGAATATGTGTCTGTAAGTGTCTTGTGTCATCTGTGCAAAACTCAAAAGCTGGCGGGAGTGGCTCATGCTGTAATCTCAATCCTTAGGACATGGGACAGGGGATCAGCTCCTACAGCTATGTAGTGAGTTGGAGGCCATCTTCTACAACAGGAGTCCTTGTTTCAACACACACACACACACACACACACACACACACACACAGAGGGGAAAAAAAAACATAAAGCTCCATCCATTCTCAGACTGCAATGGGCATTTATGTAGAGGCCTTCTTCATATATTTGTTTTTTATTTTTCTGTTTTAAGTTAGCATGCAAGGTAGTGAGTTCCATTTCGATGCATATGTGACATTATGCATTGTTTTCTCTTGTCCTCTCCTGGAGTCTCCCCTAACTGCCTGTCCTCGCTGCAGCTGGTTCCTTTCCTCCCCGTGAGAGGTCCCCTCCTCTGCTCTCCTTTACACATCATCAGGTACCCTCTCTATTTCCTCATGACCCCTTTCCTGGGTTCAGGGATACACACGTCTCATTTTAAATTAGGTTCCACATAGGAGAGAAAACATAGTGTTTGTCTTCTGAGTCGGTCTGGATCAAGAAAAAAGGCAGGAGAAGGAGACTCATGAAGGATAAGCAAGCTTAAAAAAAAGAAAGAGAAAGTGGAGGACTGTTACAGGGGAAGAGAAATGAGGAAGAGGTTAGAACAGGAAATAGATCTCTCAGTTATGAAGAAGTTCAAAACCAAAGTCAGATAAGTGAAGAAGGGGATAGAAACAGAAAGATACGAGTATTTTAAGCACGTACAATCAAAGTAGCACAAAAATAAAGGGAGAGATGGAGAAACATGGAGGGAAAAGAAGAAAAAGAAAATATATGGCCTAATGAATAATATATGCAAACAAAATTAGATGTGTATTTGTAGACTATAAAAACAATTTTTAGTGCTGTAAAGTTAAAAATACTAAAAAGTGCACCAAAGAGGGAAAATCATAATAGTAAAAAAGATTAAAAACGAAAAAGACAGAATAAAAACAAGAAGAATGAAGCATCAGAGCAGCTTCCTGCTGGGCCTCAGAAGTTGGAGATTGCCAGTTATATCCATGGAGACACAATTAGTTATTCATGTGGGCTCTAGGCTTCCCTGAGGCTTACGCTGTTTGGAATACTATACTGGACACTGTAGATGAACAGTCTTGTTAAATAAGAAACACAGAGCCAATGCAGAGATGAAAACCCAAGAGGTCAGAGTTAAAAACCTTACCCTTCACTGCTGCTATTGTCCTCTTCAGCAAGAGAGCTACTTCCTGTCTGTCTTTTTTATAGACTTTCTATTCTGCCTTCTCATTGGTTGTAAACCCAACCACATGACCTCCTAGTCACTGCCTGTCTGTACAGACCTCCAGGTCTTCTATGGTTGGTATTGAGATTAAAGGTGTGTGTCTCCATGCTGGCTGTATCCTTGAACACACAGAGATCCACCTAGCTCTTTCTCCCAAGAGCTGGGATTAAAGGTGTGCACCACCACCGCCCAGTTTCTGCTATGGCTTGCTATTAGCTCTGACCCCCAGGCAACTTTATTTATTAACATACAAATAAAATCACATTTCAGTACAATTAAAATATCACCATAGGACACATGCCAGGTGTCTCCTCCTTGACTGTGGTATCGTTGTGGCCATAGATCCTTGCTGGCCACACTAAACTTTGTAGTCTTTTGGTGTGGCCCGTATTCTAGTTAGTTGGAGATGTCCCCCACAGGTGTTAGTAGTGTGGGAAGCATCCACAGCAGGTCTGTGTGGGAAGAGAACCTGTCTTTGTCCTTGCCTAACCTCTAGACTCTGATCCTGCTGGAAGGATGCGGCTATGGTAATCAGCTGGAACTTCAGGGGTTCTAGGGCTCTGTCTGTAGTATGGAATGGGACATCGGTGGCTTCAGCAGTTGATTGATGCATCTGTTGCCATCAGGTCCAGGGCTGTTGACTCTAGAACTGTTCTTAGCTGTGGCCACTGAGGGCAGCACTGTATTTCTCTGTACACCTCTCTGCCTGAACCTAGCCTCCAGCTGCTTGTACTTTCCTCTGGTCAGCTTCCAGTCACCCTGCTGTCCACTGTTGCCTCCCCCTTGGGCTTTTCCTCCCCCTGGTGTTGGGGCAGACCAAACTGAATCTCCCTGACCTGTGGTTGTTCCAAGTTCTTAGGCCGCTAGGGTAGTTCAGTTTGCAACAGTAGCTTCTGTCTCAAGATGACTGTTGCTTGCCCCCCTAAGTCACATGGAAAGACAACAATGAGATTTCCCTCCACTGCTGACCCACTCCTGTGGGAATGAGTGTCCCACCAAAACTTTGAACTAGATCTGAGGTTCTTGGGGGCTCGTGCTCGTCCTGAGGGGAGAACTGCTGGCATTCATTTGGTGTACCTTTTGAAAGCCACTTCTGGTCACCCACCCTCTCCTACTAGACTAAGCTTGTATGTGTTATATATGTGCACTGTTGCAGGTACACATGGATGTGCATGTGTGTAGAGGCCAGAGGACAGCCTTGGGTGTTTCTCAGACATAGCTTTATTTTTATTCATTTACTCATTTATTTTTGAGACAGGGTCTCAATGGCCTGGAACTTGCCAATTAATTAGAATAGTGAACCCCAGGAATCTGCTTGCCCCACCCTCCCAGCACTGGGTACTAATCATGTGCCACCACACCTGGCCTTGTTATATGGGTTCTGGGTATTGGGCTCAAGTCCTCCTGCTTCTGGGAGACATTGACCAACCCTAGCCCCTCAGCTCACTTCCTACCAGTCTATGCTCCATCTTTTTTCTGTACCTTTCAAGTATTTTTTTATTTCCTTTGTGGATTCCTGAACGCTTTCTCTCTTTGCCATAGCCTTGTTTGTCTTACTCTGGCTCTCCTCCTCTGGCTCATCCAGAGGCAAGTCAAACCTATCTCACCCCAAGGGTGTTGCTTTTGAAACACCCAACAACCCTCATGAAAATGGAGAGTACATTTAAGACCAAAATTGTAGTGACTCCATAGTCCATAAAATGAGTCATTTTCTGGTGGTTTTAATATTCTCTAAGGGGAAAACTATGAGGCTGAACCAGATTAGTATTGTCTGGGATGAATTAGGAATTGTGGGGGGAGAGTGGCATTTTTACGGTTATTAAGGAGTAAAGATGGGGCAGAGTCTTGGTGATAGATTAGTTCAGAATCTAGTATTCCCCTTTTTTTTTTTTGGTTTTTCGAGACAGGGTTTCTTTGTGTAGCTTTGGAGCCTGTCCTGGAACTCACTCTGTAGCCCAGGCTGGCCTCGAACTCACAGAGATCCACCTGCCTCTGCCTCCTGAGTGCTGGGATTAAAGGCGTGCACCACCACCACCTGGCAAGAATCTAGTATTCCTAAACAACCTTGTACTTAAGCCTAATCTTTGGAGTGAGTCTCAAGTCAGTTTGGTATCAGGACAGCCTTCTGGCCTAAAGAGTTTTTGTTTGTATGGGCATATCCATTTTATTTGCAATATTTGAGATTAAACCTTAAGGAAACAATTTAGGCACAAGAAGGGTTGGGTACGATGTACTTGTCTGAAGCCCCACCTACTTAGAAGGCTGAGGCAGGAAGATCTCTTGAACCTAAGGGTTCAAGGTGGCCAGCCTGAGCAATCTAGCAAGACTTTATCTAAAATAAAAATACAAACTTAGAGACACTCTCTATTTGCTTTAAAAGTCACAGTGTCTTCATCATCATCATCTATCAATGAGAATCGAATCGGACAGAGTCATTCTTAGTATCACTAGGAAAATACTTTTCGCTTTGTGAGTTCCCTGAAAGAATGGAGATGAGTGACAGGCCGAGGGCCAGGAGTCCCTAAAGCACACACTGACAGCTGAGGTTTGTGTTGGGTTTGATTTTTACCTAAGAGCCTTCTTTTCCCCATTTGTGAAACAGCTGATACTATACCTGTGTTTCTGTTGTAAAGATTAATGTGAATGTCTAAAACGTGTTCAATGCTTAGGACAGTGCTCACTGTGGCTTTGTGAACGAGCAGTGCTCCCTACTGTCTGCTGGTGTGGGAGTAGTTTTTGGCTCTCAATGGGTTAACGTTTCTGGATCAGTGACTTAAAAGAAAATCAGACATTAGCTTTCTGTCCAGCTTTTGATTGAACTGGTAAGTTAGAGTTTTTCTACCAACACATACTGTCTAAAACAAATACTGTAAGTGCTGTCATTGAAAATTCATTCATAGTAATATAAAGTACATACATTTTGGGGTTTTAGTATTCTTTCACACTTTTGCATGAAATATTATTCTAACTGATTGATGTAGATTTCACTTCCTTAAGGACCAACCTTAGCACTTGGCCGCTTATTAGATAGGGTGTTTTTGCAATACACTCATATGTTAAGGACTTTAGATTACATCCCTATGTAATAAGTAATCCTGAATTGTTCTCTCCTGACTCGTTGATGGCTTCTTAGGTTCTTAGAACCCTGTAGGTTGGATTACTTGGGTGATGACAGGAAAATGAAGAATGGAGAGGTCTGAGTTGAGTGGGAATAGTGATAGGAGAGGTACCTTCTGATTCACTCGCAGGTCCCCTAACACTGCAGGGGAAGCCACATTGTAGATTGTTGCCAAGAGCCTAGGATTAGAGCAAAGAGTAAAATGTATCTCTTCATCAAATTGAGATTTCAGTTGACAGAGCAGTGTATAAAATCCCTGCCTTCACAGAGCTTACCTTGCTGTAGAAGCTAACAAACAGCAACGTAAAGTGTTTTATGTGGAATGTCGCCCAAGTGCTTCGAGAAAGCAAGCAGGGATGTAGAATAAGGAAGTCAGTTAACTTTGTAGGTTACTTTGTTATTATAAATTCAATTTGATTTATTACTGCTGTATCTATGGAGAATGTATTCCCAGTGGGCTAGTATGAATCCTTGGTAGCATATTCTGTTTCCTGTATATGTATATCTGTGGTGAATTTTATATAAGATATTGGCAACAGGGCTAACAAAAACAATTGTACTAACATACCTTAATAAAATTACTTGACAGATTTCCAAATTTTCCAGATGCTATCTTTACCACAATTGAGTGAGAGTGAGTAAAGGGCCGGCCGAAAGTGAAAGCGGCCAGGCCAGGGCAGCCTGCTGCTCCAGGGCAGCCTGCTGCGCGGCAAAGTGGCAGTGCCTGGTTCTCACTGGACTCAAGAGTGCTCATTTTCCTTTGTTTTTAAAGATTCGATTCTATGAGCTTGTAAATCCACTAAGGAAGGAAATCTCCGACCTACAAGTGAAGAAGAATGAACTGTCTGAAGAACTAAGTACGAACAAGGGCCAGCTGAAGCAGCTGACAGAGGTTGGTTTGATTTCTATTACTCTCGGAAAGACATAGCAACTTTCCCACGAGAACTTGTCGATGTTTGTGGGAAGGAGCATGAAAGGGCTAGAAAACGAGCCTAGGGTGCTGACTGCTGCAGCTCTTAGTGAGTCGTAAGTGAGAGACAATTGGAAGTCTTCATCTTAAAAATTGACACGATAAATATGCTTTTAACGTATAATCCGCAGTATAGCATTTTTTGATGTAAGTCATTTTCATAATCAAATTTTTTTGAGATCACAAAACCAGCCATATCTGAATGTTCTTGTGCAAGAAATATGCACAAAGGAGTTTATAATTTCTCTAGCTTTAGTACATAAAATGTAGGCTAGATATGGATGCCAGTAGTAGGAAGAAAAGGAATGTATTTGGCTTTTTTTCACTAGAGACTCATGCGTTCTCCTTTGGCAGGACAGTCTTCACTAAAGTGTCAGGCTGGGACATTCTTGTTTATTCTGCGATCTTGACCAAGTCATTTGACATTTCTTTTCAAATGAAGAAAAACAGTTTGTCCTTTTTTTCACTGGATCACCCATGTTTCTATTTGATAGTAACATGTATCTTCACCAAGTCTTGTACAAATATTTATGTGATGTACTATTTCAAGGGCAGGTTTTTCAGTGCTTTTACCCAAAAGTAAGTCATTAATTTACTATATATTTTCAGTACTGTACTTTGACACTTTGCACAGGAAGGAAAGGTCTAGCCCAGTCCCAGTCTGCTCTCTGTGTCCTGCTGCATAAGCTTGTGGCATCTTCAGCAATAAGGTCTCTTACCATCTCTTCTGGTGGACAAGCAACAGCACCAGCAATTGCCTAGAGTGTTTTGGGACTCTGTGGCCAGCCACTCACTGGGAGGTGACATTGGGATTGTTTAGGAACCAGTGGCTTCTGGATGCAGCTTTATCCATCCACACATGGTGCCTGCAATCAAGTCATTCTGTTGGTTTGAATTGTCTGATAACTTTATCAAGTATCAGTTTCCTTATGGCATTTTTTTATGTCATTAGTTTTTGTTGACTCTCCTCTCACTTCTCCTCCATCCCCCTGCACCATTCCCCTGTCCCTTAAATGTTTCTAACCTTGTACTCTTCCAATTCCCTTTTTCCTTCCATACCACCCCCATGGCCCCTCTCTACTCTCCTTTCCTCTACACACACTCATTCCCATGTAAATGCATGTATGTAAAAGTTAGGAGCTAGTATTTGCACATGAGAGAAAACATACAGTATTGGTCTTTCTGTACATGAGTTCCCTCACTTAATAGTTTCCAGTTCCATTCATTTTCCTGTAAATTTCATTATTTCATTTTCTCTTACAACATAAATAAAATTTCACTATGTATATATTCCATGTTTGTATTATCTAGTCATCAGTTGATAGACATCTAGGCTGATTCCGTTTCCTTGTTATTGTAAATAGCTCACTAATACACTTGTATGTGCAAGTATCTCTGTGGTGAGATATAGAGTACTTCTGGCATATGTTTAGGTGATGTGGAAGTTCTGTTTTTAGCTTTTTAAAAAACTTCCACACTGTTTTCCAAAGTGCTGCCCCAGTTTGCACTCCCACCAACAGTGAATATGGATTCCCCTTCTTCTACATCCTCATCAGCGTTGGATGCCACTTGTTTTCTTCACGATGACCATTCTAACTGGGTTATATAAGATGGACTCTCAAAGTAGTATTAATTTGTATTTCCAGGATTGCTAAGGATGTTGAGCATTTAAAAAAATACTTACTGTCTAATAATGGTAATTTTATTATTAAAGCAAGATAATTTATATCTTTCCTCACTTGCTTTGTGTTGTGATAAACACTATGACCTAAGCAACTTGGGGAGGAAAGAGTTTATTTCATCTTACACATTACAGTTCCTCATCTCAGGAAGCCAGGGCAGAAGCTCAGGTGAGCACCCGAAGGTAGGAACTGAAGCAGGAACTATGGAGCAGTGCTACTTGCTAGTTTGCTCCGAGACTCAGAGTCATCTAATGTTCTTATATAGGCCTAACCCACCTGATGAGAGATGCCATTGCACAGTAGACTGTCAATTAACGATCAAGAAAATGCCCCAGACTATGACACTATGACTATGGCAACTCTTACAAGAAAAACATTTCATTGAGGTGGTGGCTTACAGTTCAGAGGTTCAGTTCATTATCATCATGATGAGGAGTCTGGCCGCATGCAGGCAAATGTGATGATGGAGGAGTAGCTGAGAGTCTTACTAGTAGGCAACAGGAAGTTGACTGAGACACTGGGCAGTATCCTGCACATAGGAAACCTCAAAGCCCACCCCCACAGTGACACACTTTCTCCAACAAGGACATACCCACTCCAACAAAGCCACACCTCCTAATAATGCCACTCCCTGTGAGATTATGGGGGCCAATTACTTCAAACTACCACATGTGTCAATTTGACAACCAAGATTAATTAGAATCTGAATTATGTGATTTTTAAACAAAAAATTCAGACTTATATAAAAAGCAAGTGAGATTATCAACAGGTAAGGACTGGAGAGACTATTGCAATCTATAAGGTAAGGTGTTAAGATCTGGGTTACTGAAGAGTCAGCTGGAGATGCTAGGTTACTGGGATTCAATTACTAATGAGAACTAGTCTTCAGTTCCTAGTTTACTAAAAATTCTAAATGAAATGGCCGGTTTCTCAATTGGATGTTTCTGATTTGTTTCTTCTGTTGCTTGAAATGTTTTCATTTTGGTGCTTTGGTGGCATTTCATATTCTTCTCCTCTTTAGTATGTAGGATCTATTTGTCTGTCTGTCTATCTATCTACCTGTCTATCTATGCAATGAAAACACAGAATTTCCCATCAAATACAAATGTAATAGCAAATCTTTACTTTTCTAGAGATGGATCATTTAAAATTTCTTGGTCACTACAAAAGTAAATGTTCCTTTTTACCTTTTTGAGACAAAATACAGTTTTCTTTTAATTCAGGAAAGAAAGAAAGCTTTTACTCATCTATTGCAAGGAATGAGCCCTCTGTAATGAAAAGACAGATTAACAAAAGAAGAGCACGACAGGCTTGTTTAGCATCAGTTTAATGGGACACAGGCGCCTTCAGAAATGAAGGCCCATAGAACACTGCATTTGTGTGCATAGTCGTGTGTAAGTAGTAGAGGACAAGGGCTGTGGTTTAATGGCAGTAGCCTGGGCAGAGGAGCTGGGAGGGGTGAGGGACACCTGGCCAGGCCTGCTGGTTCAGATTCTCGGCTTCTCTTCCTGACATTCCTTCTCTTTATATGTAGAGCCATACACTCCTGACATAGGCATCTTCAGAGGAGGAGAGGAGAAAGTCAGACTTCCTAGGGCCTGTGGCCTGCTGAGGGTGGTAGGGTAGTGGTGAGGGCGCTTTCCCTTTCCAGGGCCGGCTCCTAGCCAGAAGGTGCAAGGCAGAGATCTTATTCTAGTTTTCTTGAAAGGCGTCTTTGAGTTTCAAATACTCTGTATTCCTACGTACCCTACTCCAAGTTGCCATACAGCAGGCAAAGAAATGGTTTTGGTTTGTGGGGTAGTTTTTTAATTATTATTTTTTATTTATTTAATTTTTTTTTGGTAGCAGACAACCTGAAAAATGCATCAGTGGAACCAGGGGCTCCACTGATGCTAAGTTTTTCTGTTTTTCTGAAGTTGGCAAGTGTGAGGAAAAGGTAGTGCTGCTTGGTTCAACAGTGAGATACATTGCTTTGCTAAATCTGGGGACAAGACTGTGCTGTTAAAGGCTGCAACCATAGTAAACTTACAGAGCTTTAGAAAGATGTGACCCAGAAAAATATTCATTTTTATTCATCATTATTTGAATGATCTCCTCATACAACAATTCAGTAATTATGCAGTGTTCAACTTACTCATACTTAAGGTTGGGTGTTTTAAAGGGAGTGATGTGGATCTTATAAATGCCTAATTTGAAAATTCAATAAAATATGGATTTTGAGAAGTGTAATAGCTACATGGCCTTAGAATTTTAAGGTGTGTCAATGGCGAACTTGAACTTAAGTTCATGTGTAATCTCAGTGTTAATGGAGCGATGAGAGCAGGGCTAATTTAAGAGGTTAACAAATTGCCTGCCTGACTGGAGACCCCAGGAACTGTAAACACATAAACCGAGCCTTATCTGAGCTTATTAAATGAGTATGGGATGAGATTTCATTTAAATCATATGTGTATAAAAAATACAGAATTAAATTCATAAATTTTTCAAAAAGCTAATGATAAGGTTCCAAATTTTTTACTAAATTTTGACACTTTTTTAAAAATTGTAGTAAAGATACATTTCACATTGAGGCAGGCAGGCCAACTATTGGGTTGAACCTGCAGAATTCTCCTGTCTTGTAGCACTGAAGCTCGCCGTAGACACTAATCCCCCTTTGCTCTCCCTGCCCCTGCGAACCACTTTTCTGCTTTGTTTCTATGGTTTTGATTACTTTAGACACTGCATGTGAATGGACTCATGCAGCGTTAATATTTATTTCACTTAGTGTATCATCAGATTCATCCATGTTTTAATATAATTTCCTTTTTGAAGATCTTTAATAATATGAGCACCTGCCACATTTCTTTATTCATCTGCAGTGGACATCTGGGTTGATTAAACTTCTTGACAATATTTGACAGACTTTTAAGAATGGTTATCTTGATTTCTGAGGGAATTGCTTTTCTCATTAGCAGTTGACGGGTAAGAACCAAAATATAGGAAAGAAAAAGATTTCAATGAAAATATAACTAACCATTCTCTGTTAAGTCTAGTGTTATTAAATATTCAATAGTTTAACTTATTACATTGATGAGGAAGAACAAATTACGATTTCAAGCTTTGCAAGATTTGTCTGAGCATGGAGCACAAAATAGCGAGGCAAGTTGAGGGGCTGTTTGAGCTTATGACTTGAAGGCTCTCCTTTTTCATGTAAGCTGTCAGTTTACATATCCAAATTAGCATGTGCAAAATTGACCACAT